TGTAGTCTCGGGATTCCACCAAAGGTGTAACCTTTTCACCACCTTCTCTCCGAGAAGTTTATCACCAGGCGCCTTCGCGCCTCTGCCATGCTCACCAGGAGTAAGAACGTTTCATCGATGTAATGCTGAAGACCTTCATTCGTTGATCCACATGGATGCTCATTGGCTTTTTCCTTGGTTGCAGGTTGAATTGCACCATCTCCGTTGAAATCACAATCCGCGGCAAGCATCATCAGATTCCCTTTCGTAGGGATGCTTCCGTGTCCGAGATTAGGGATGCTTTGTTGGCGCTCGTCGATCCCCGGGAACGACCCCACTCCTGGTTTGTGGCGCCAGGCGGGATAACCCTCTGCAAGAACGACACTGAACCCCTGAAACTAAAGCCACTCCCTGAGGCTATAACCGTAGAGCTGCGGCATTTGCTCCCCGGGGGGTACCCCCGGCCAAACGCAGGGGAGGGAGAAGCAAGCGGCAGCGGGCGGTATGCAGGACGGCAAGGGGTGTCCGGTGTCAAGCCGAGTGGGGCAACTTCAGAGCGGCGGGCCGGCAGGGGTGGGTGGGTACAGCAATCGCTGGCCGGGGGGGATACGAGATCGGACGTTTTGAGTGCGGAGCAGGAGTGTGAGCAGGACGAAAATCTTCGTATTGCCGCTCGGGGGACGCCAGGGAAGCGGCGGGGGAGCGTCGACGGGGAGTCGGTCATTTCGCCCAGGAGCCGGCAGGAGCTCAAGCGCTTCACGTCATGGGATGGGCAGGTAATCCGCAAAAATGGAGCCGACGAAGCTCGGGCACTTGGGGTGCAGAGAGGGTTGCCTGGTCAAGACGATTCCGCGAGTTGTTTCAAGGTTTTGGGGAAGGCAGGGACGGACGCTGCCGGCGGCCTGCCTCACATTCCAGAAGCCCCTACCCCCATGGAACTTGATGGTCTGCCCACAGCGAAAAGCAGCGCTTGCAACGGAGAATTAGGGGCCCTATCGGAAGTGGAAGACACCTTATCGCAGGAGGTGTCAGAACTGAGCATTTCGCGGGAGACCCTGCGGAGGCGCGTGGAGCCCCGTCCGCGTCTGGTGAGCCTGAGTTCGCCAGGGCCTTCTGAAAGCGATCAGAGCAGCGGACAGAGGGTAAGTCGCGGAACGACCGAGGCCAAAGAGGCGGCGGGGACCAGTAGCGCAACGAGAGCAGGGGCGAATGGATGGGAGAGGATTGCCCACCGCGCGCGGATGGGTCAGACCCCGGGGAAAACGTACGCGGAAGTCGTCGCCAGCGACGCGAAAATGGAAGTCTGCTATCTTTGTGAATCAGGCAAAGCGCCCCTTCGTGCTTGCGAGAGCAACGGATGTGCACGGAGGTGGCACGCAGCGTGCACACGCACCCTGGCTGACGCGCTAGGGAGCCAGCATCCATTCCCGCTTGCAGTCACGTGGGCCGGCCTTTGCCCAGTGTGCGAGCAACTGTGCACCGCGCGCGCCTGCCGAGACGCCGCGCGCAAGGGCAAAGCGATCGACCAGACGGTTAGCGGGGGGGCTTGCCACGTGGCAGCCCGACGTGCCTCGGGGGGTGAGGAAATTGCGGGAGTTTCGGCGGCTTGGAGAAGAGGGGCACCGAATGCAGCGACACGAGACTGGGCAGGGGCAGAGTCAGATACGGTCCCATCTGGCGCGCCAACGCAGCATACGGTCGGTGGACAGCCGTGGCCAAGCCCGCTGCTTCCCGGGGACGGCGCGGGGCCGCCAACGGTTGCACAGGATCCCATGCCCACGGTAGGCTTGTAGAATGTTATAGCACTCAGATGTTACGCGACATGGGGCCTACTAGGAACACTTGTAGCTCCAGGTCTGAAGTTCCTAAATGCTTGATGTGAGAGTCCCCCTTGGAGTAATAAATTCGTCGTTTGAGTGAATCTTATCGCCTTCAGATTGTCTTGAGGACTCGCTTCACTCTTTCAGCATCGGCATCGTTGAGACTCAGCTTCGAACTTGGATAGTGGCACGCTTTTGATGCTGTCTTGGGTCCCTGATCATATCTGTCAGCGTGATGTGCCGTTCGAGGCTGTGACGAGAGAGGAGCTGGGACTCACGGTCATTTTTTTCTGCAGAAGTCGGACTGCAACGGGACCCCATCTGCTGTTCAAGAGGGACAGCTCTCGCAAGGCCTGGAAGAGTTCCATTTAGCCAACGAGCATGCTCAAGTGAGGGTGGAACCAATCCGGCCTTTACTCTCCTGATATGCGCACGCCCTACGTAAAGCTTCCCGAGCACGCTTGCCTTAAGCTTCTTGCGATAGACGGTACCGAGTCTCATATGTTGGATGGATCCCGAGTTTTGTGTTGCATCCTGAGTCTCGTAAGGGAGGCCCTTCTCATCAGCTACGTGGTGACAGAACGATAACTCTTGTGTCCGCTTTCAAACTTGCAGGTTCGTGCACCGCCAGGCGCGTCGCTCCCGCCGATTGGCCTGCCGAACCTCGGCAACACCTGCTACATGAATTCCGTCTTGCAGGCCCTGCTTGTATTTGGCTCCTTCCACCGATTCATCGACCAAGAGCCAGTCGGACATGTTGCAGTAAGTTTAGGCGATCTGCGTTCTCCGACCCGACCTTCACGCAGCTGGTATAATATTATTTCCTCCTGATTGCCTGGCGCCATGTCCAAGACAAAGTTGACTGGTCGAAGGGTCTACATACTGGAAACGAGACAAAGGAATGAACGTCTTTGCCCAGATACGCTTCTGCACGTGCAGGTGTCTTTACGACAAATGTGCAGACAACTCGCACGTGCGGCTGCCACCGGTGATCGGGATCTTGCACGCAGAGCCGTTACACGACTTGTACCAGCAGTCCAAACGGCCTTCCCAGACTTTCGACCGAAACAACAACAGGACGCCCAGGTACCACGGTCCCAGCAAGGAACTTCTGTCTCGTGCTGCGCCCTAAATCCTGCATTTTCCAGCTTGGTCCTGGCATCTCGCAAATCGCACCGCCTGCGTCTTGTCAAATGCCCGAATTTTAGAGGATGTGAAGGGCCGTATGTCAGCTTTGGCAGTCTGCAATGACCAGACTTGGAACTGACATGCAAGCTTGAAGAGTTCTTATTTGACCGGGGGACTTTCGACCTTTTCCAGGATTTCTTCTCAAGGTTTGTGCAGAACCTTTGGTTGGAAGTCAACGTCCTTTCGTGGGAGAATCCTCACGTGCCGTTGATCGACAACGACTTCCTGGTTAGTACTTTTCACCCTCCCAGTTCTTTATCACGAGCTGCTCAAGGAATTTAGGTAGGGCGTTCGAACTTCGTCCTAGTTAGTAAGAGTTGTCCTCTGACAAACAGTTGTTGTGTTGGGAGAAGCTATCAAGAGCTCGCTTTTTGCCATTGTATACAGTATCATCTTTTTGCGGGCGTATCGTGATTTGAAACCTCGCTAAGAATTGCCTCTTGGCAAGTGCACGTGATCGTGCTCGTCTGAGCCTGCGTCCTGTATTGACAATCCACGAGAAATGCTTGTGTTACTGCTGGGCCCTTTCGGGTTTGGCAAAGAATATCTAAGTTCCTTGAAGCAGGCAAATCACTTCGAATTGCTTCTTCTTTTTGTTTATGTACGGTCCACACGCTTTACGTTCAGCGACCAGTGTCGAAATACTTCGGACGAAGTGAAGGAGGTATCCTCCCTCATCCACGTGCCGCTGCCGACCGACGCTTACGTCACCGGCGATGCCGTCCGCCTTGAGGACTGCTTCATCCGCAAGTGCAAATCTGAGCGGCTCACAGACCTCACGTGCCATACGTGCCACACGAATCACGCCTTCGAGAGGGTGATGCTGTACGAAGACCTCCCTAAGTGCCTGGTGGTGCATCTGGCGCGCTTCTACACAGACCGGCTGGGGTGAGAAACCTTGCCTTTCAAAGCACGTGCGCTGAAAACACTTTTACCTCGTCGCATGAAACAGAGCCCCGGTATCCTGTGTGCAATCAGCCTCCGATGCGGGACCGCTAGGTGCCAGAATATTCTCCCTCTCGAGAAACACGAGGCAGTGCCGTGTGAGCTGAGCCTGTGAAGCTGCGTTCCTAGGCAGGAGGAGCACGGGACTCTCTTCGGGCCAGTTCGACATCACAAGTAAGGAGCAAATCCTCACGCAGTACAGTTCGTTTCTGCAGGTCACACAAGCTGCACACGAACGTGTCTTACCCAATGGACCTGGACCTCAGCGGCTGTGTGGTCGGGGCAAGGACCGCACGGTTCAAACTTCGTGGAGCCGTCTTTCATAAGGGCGCACGTGTAACCAGCGGCCACTACTTTAGCCACGTGGAGGTGAGCTACCAGTTTGGTTGCAAGCTCGGTTTGAAAGCTCCTCCGTTTGTGGATTTGTCTTCGCATTTCAAGTATGTTGGGAGGTCCATGTTTGTTACCGTCACACCCTCCTCACATCTTGGAGAAAGCAGGCCTGATGAGCGCCTGGCATGGGCGCTTGCAGAGGTCTAGATGACGTTTGATGAAGTCACCGTCTGATCTGCTCAATGGATTCATCTAGCTCTCCCGAATTCTGCTTCGCAAACCTTGTACCTAGACACTCTATCTAGCTGACCCCTACCGGAGTCATTTGCATAACACCGCGATAGCTTCATCTCATTCGGCCACTGCACGGCGCCTGCATCATCAAGTGTCAAATCTGCGGTTCTATCGTTTGAAAGCTCTACGTCCACGTTATGTCATGGACTGCCGACTGATTCCCGTTCTGTCGCTCACAGAAAGGTGGGCGCTGGTACGAATGCGACGACGACCGAGTTACTGAACTCCTGTGGTACATGGCCGCCGAACGGCGGGAGAGTCGGGAGGTGTACACCCTATTCTACGAAAAGCAAGATGGAGAGCTACCGGTGAGCTTCCACCAACTTTAGGCGATCTGCGAACTTTGAAGAGTAGTCCGATATCAACGGTCCCCGTCCTTGCATGCGGCTGGTCGACATCCAGTTCGGCCGTGCATCCGTTTGCGTACTCGGTGTTAGAGGAAATTCCGGTCCAGTCACAACAGCGCACCGCTGTCGTACTAGCCAACTCCAGCAGTCCGGTCCATAAGGAATCTCTCCAAGCTAGTTTAATCCTGAAAAAGACCGCTCCCGGGTTGTGAGCTCTGCCTATGTGTCGTGATTCGAAGTCGGCGCCCACAGTCAGAGGAGACGTTCATGTTTAGAGGGCCGCTACTGATTGCACGTGGCTGTGCTGTTTCAGCGCCACGAGGACCTCTGAACTTCGTGCGTTCCCTTTTTCTGGGATTCTTTCTCATCTGAAGGAGACCACGAACTCTTTATTGAGAGGACGATCGTCCTCAAGGTTTTATGGTTGCCTCACCTCATCCGTCCCCCATGTGTCATCATTGTTCTCCTTCTCGCTCGCCTCCTGCAAGCTCATGTTCACATCCACCGACTCCACTTTTGCAGATACCCTCGACCGCGCTTCAGTCCCTCGCTCGACAAGTTCAAGAGGGGGCCACCATCAAGGACCACAAGGGGCTGGAAAACTTGGCGGGCCCGTCTGCGGGACAACTCCCTAGAACCAAAGGACAAGAAGAACGGCGATCTGGGGAAAAAGTAGGGGTACAGAGTCTGGGAGGACGGCGAGCGGAGCCTGCGGCGAGCGAAAATGGGGTGGTTTCGGCGGCGAGCGGAGAAGTGGGTCTCCAGGTGAGGAAAGCGGAGACGAGGTTGGTCGAGCGAGGTCCGTCTACAGCACCGCAGGCGTAGGGAGAACAGCTCTGTTCGTGCTGCTCAGCGTACGCACATTGCACAGCGCGCCTGGGTCCATCATTTGTATGCAGATTCGAGTCTTCTCAAATCTCAGTCGTTGAGTATCTTCCAACGCGGATCTGAAGCTGGTCTGGAACACTGCCAAGGACCAGGAGCAACGACGGCCATCCCAGCGCCGGTGGTTTCGATACTCCACTCCGAAGCTGACACTAATTCAAACCCCAACCCTGAACTTGTTTCCAACCTTGACCTTGACCGTGACCTTGATCTTAACTTTGACCTTTCTGCTCGAACCTTGATTGTTACCTTAACTCGCTTTGACCTTAACCCTATCGTCAAGCTTAACCCCATCCTAAACCCTAACCGTATTGTCAACCTTAACCCCAATTCTTAATCCAAATCTCAACCCAATTTTACAATTCTCATCTCGACGTCGATCCACTACCATAATCCTAACCCTAACCCTAACCAGAAAATGACGAATCATTCAAACTTGGATTGATAAGTCCGGACTTCAAAGGATTCTGAGGCCTGAGCAGGTTTCATCGACTCTAAATCAAATCAGAATGGAAGACTGGACTAGGGTCCTTGAGTTTCCTGAGACATTTGTCTCACGGCCTGCGGTGTTCCCTGTTTTTACAATTGCGCCTCGTTGAGTGCCCTTTCAGGAGATACACATGAAAAGTAGTGGGCCCCACGATCCGGCAAAGTTTATAACTGGCTTGAATCCTCGAATGCTTTCTTCTTCAGGCGACTGCCAGGCCTCCTGACGTTAGATCTCGTGGGTCCGACTGCCAGGCCGCACAAGAGGTCGCCGGTTGCGACGGGCGCGAGGGCGGAACGGGAGAGGCCGTACTAGGAGTTGGGCATTCGGGGGGCGAAGGGACGGGGGTTACTGAAGAGCACGCGCTTGACGTGGGGGTCCCAATGGCTGACTGGGCAACAGGTGCTCCACCGGTGGAGAGAGGGGTTGGGGACTCAACAAAAGAGCAGCCTCGAGATAGCGCAGAGTCTCAAGGAACGGACAAAAGCGCTGCGGATTGTACAGGAGGAGCGTCGGTGCGTAATGGAAAGGCGGGACCGGGGTGCCGAAAGAAAAGTGGCAAACCTAACCGTCGGAGCAAACGGCGGTTGCATCGAACGGGCGACTCACAAAGAGAGGGAGTCCCTAGCCCCCAGAGGCGGACGAGTGGGCGACCACGAGAGCAAGCTCGGCCTCAGCGCGTAACTCGGCGGCACGCGGCCTCCGGCGGGGACGGGGATTCCGTCGACATTGCAAGCGGAGGGGAACGTCTGCGCGAGGAAGACGCGTCGAGGGCGGGTAGCGAAGGGGCGGACGATTGGAAGCAACGTCTCATCGAGGAGAGACCCGGGCTCGACGAGAGCTGGGGTTTGAACGGGGGCGTGGGACCTGGGGGGGCTAGGTGGACGCCTCCGGCAGCTTCTGGAGAGCCTTGGGAGGCCATGGCTGCCAAACGAGTAAGTTCTTTCTGGTGCCGTGGATTGCCTTGTACAAAACATTCCTACTTGAGATTGAGGCTGAAGCATCCGTTGGACGGGAGTGCGATCGGCAGAAGGTGATGTTTTACAGTATCTCCTATAGAACGCTAGAAGCAAGGCGGCCCTTTGGATCATGCAAGTCGTGTCTGCCTCCAGAAAGCATCTGGCATGCTTTGCTGACAAGCTGGTGCCATCAGTAACACAAGAAGCATCTCGTTGGCGCAGGTCGGGGAAGAAGCAAGACGCAAAGCTCAGGAGAAGCCACCCGAGCCTGGCAGTGGTGCAGCAGACGATGAGGACGCGGCACAGAACGAGTACCCAACGAGGGAGAAGGTTCCAGAAGACGGGCACCAGGCATACCAACATGCTCACGAGTCCGAGGGGTTCTTCTTCCTCATCTGGGCGGTGCGTGACGTTGACTTACTGTACACAACGTGGAGGATTTCAAGGGCATCGATTATTGCGTCAGATCCTGTTAACGATGGTGCAAGACGGCTGTCGGCTGGACACAGAGTCGTCTCCTTGGCATCATCATCATCATCATCATCATCAACAACGTTTTCTGAAGGTGCCGCAGTCAGTCAGGCTCTGGTTTTGTGTTGACGACTTTTCTCCAAAGCTTTTCCTTGTCATGCAGAACTCTTCACGTACGCCAAAGATCAGATGGTTCGCACCGGATCTGACAGCCCGAATCAGCTTCTTGGAACCGCAGGAAAACTCGAACATGCCCATATTTGGAAACACTGCTTGCATCTTCCACAGTTCTTCCTCCACCTTCGCCTCCTCGGGCTTCTTCGCTATCTTACGCTACCTCTGTTTCGCGGAAATGAAATCGTCGACTGGGTCGACATTGACGTCGACGACCTCCCCAGATATCTTGGAGCCTTCGGAATACAAGGTAAAGTAACTATCGTGCGATCTGCATGCTGGTTAGTATAGAAGTTGTCGAATGCCCACACCGAATGACACAGATAGAAAGTGACATTAAACTTCGGCGCTAGATCTCTTGTCTGATACAATATGGAGAACGTGCTTAGCTGGCGAGTCAACGTTCAAAATTCCACGTCGCCTGGAATACACCGACTGGCCCAGGAGCACCTCTAAGCCAACTGGTGCGATACTCCTATCTCTCATGATATCCGGTCAGAAGAAACTTTTGGAGTCCTCCTGTCACTGTGCCTTCTCCATCGAACTTGTAACACCTTCCAGTCGAGATTACCCAGTCAAGCTTTGTTGAGTCTGGGGCCGCTTTCTGGGGAGGACAGCAGAATGTCAACGGGGGCTCGGGTTTAAAAGGCCTACCCGTCCGCGAGCAAGAAGCTGCTTCATTTCGAGTGCAAGGGCTGAATAACCTGAATCGTGTGTCTGCGCACCCTCTTGCAGCCCACAGATATGACTTTCAGGCCGGGGGCATCGAAGGAGAGCTCCTGCGGTGGCTTCGCGGCGGCGCCGAGACGTGGGCATCTGGGTCCAACGCCAGGGCGAAGTACGAAGAGCTCAACCAGAACCGGTCACCCACGGACCAGATCGACTTCCTAACCATTCTCTACTGGGCTGCGCGGGAGATGCGGTCGATGGCGACGTTCCAAGCCTGGTGCCGGGTCCTCGCTGCTTCAACATATGGCGGAGGGAGCCCTACGTGCACGTCGGTCGACCGAGCGGCTGATCACGACCACACAACTTTCCCCCTGGTGTGGTTTGCTGTCTTGGTCAGCTACCTGTACGAAACCGGAAAGGTAAGCTGTCAGTCTATTCATCAAGATGTCATTGCGTTTCCGTTTTTCCACTTCGAGAATACTGATCACTAGTAAATTCTCCGAATCAGAGTTGTTTGATAGAACCCACGGAACGGCACGCGCAGTATTTCGAGCACCACCGAAGGGCCCGACGAGCCCATGGGTGGTTTACTTCCAAATGTTTTTTTTTTTAGCCGCAAGACTCCTGGCAATATCTTATTAGCACCGACTGAACAGAAACCTTATCGGCGCTGAAACGAACGTTTCTGAGAGTTTCACCGAGGACGCCAGGTTCTTCCACCTCGCCGATTGTTCCTTCTTCAAGAGCGTCGTTCGGTGCACAGCTTCTTGTCGAAACCTCAGGCCAAGGACCACTAACGCTTAGTATGGCACCGAGTTCTTAGACACAAGCACCCTGTCCTTCCAGTTAAAACTACACCCATTTCTGGCGTTCGGCACCCCCACGTCGGACGAGGACAAGATGGAGCTTGATGGTGTCCGTCACGTGGAGGAGGCGCTCGGACGGCAGCTCGTGGCCCTTTTGGGAAGCGGCCACAAGCTCGACATCTTCCTCTTATATGCGCTGGTGCGCCTTCAGGTGAGGCGCATGGTTGACACGTCATGGTTGAAACAGGACTTAAGAGTTACCGTGAATACTCGAGCACCAGAAGCGAATTCGTGGGGGTCCCTACTACATTTCAAATTCGGACGTGTCCTTGCTGTCGGACTCTCAAGCTCGTCAACGACGTTCACTCTGTCGTAACAAAAGCTGTTGAGATGCTGCAACCGAAAGTTGGTACTCAGCCCCACCAGTCCGATTCGTGCTTATTGTGCTTGGAAAACGCAGTTACTTTGAGTCAGTTGAGGGCCTAACTCTAAATTAAAGTGGCAATCTTTCGCAAACCCTGTCAGTGGAGCTGTTTGGACTACTCCCTGGTGTGAAACAAGTGGTCAGAGTTCCGTTTCCTGCCTAATATTATTGGAGGCAAGGTATGAGTTGTTTTTAATGCTCCATCACCATGAACATTTCTTTGTCACGCTGAAGCGGAGCTCCGTTGACTACAAAACTCTAGCTTAAAAAAGCAGCCGCATGACGAAGAAAGAGAGCTACTGCAGTCAACGTTCGGACTGCGAGAATCTGGACATTTCTGCCTTGCTGGTCAGACTTCTTGATCAACGTTCGTTCAGGTGAAAACAGCGACTGCCGCGAAAGTCGCTGAAGGTCAACACGGGGAGCTGAACTGGCCGGTAGATGGGTGGACCAAGTCGGCGTACAGTGCTGGCGACCCCGCGCGCACCGACAAAGACGACCAGACGCGGCACTTCGAGGGTGTCGCAGTGATGCTTCCGGGGCGAAGTTGGGCGGAGGAGAACCCGGGGACAGTAAAGAAGAACCTAAAGAAGATGTCCGAACTCGGTCGGCGCCGGTGGTCGCAGCTCGTAACGGAGAGACGGTTAAGAACCATGGTCCCGATTCCCCTCCCCACGCTCTTACTGCTGAAAAACATCGGTTTCCACCGGAAAGGCGAGTACGTCCCCAGAACATACGCAACCCTCACAATTTTGACAAGAAGGATTGGTCACCGCGAGAAAGTCGACGTCGGCGAAAGGGGGGGCGGGGGCCTGGTGGAAAACGGGGGTACGATGCTTCTGCTGGAAGAGGGGGGGACCCTGGAGGCAGACATCAAGGAACTACTCGACGGGTACGAGTGCATTAACCTCGAGGAGCTTCCCCATTCGGTACAACGGGTGATGGAACGCGCCAAGGAGTTCGCCTTGGTCCCTTTCAACCGCCCCCCGGAAATGCAGGCTTGGCTCGAAGCCATGACCGGCTCTCTTAGCTCTTTCAGGCCTTGGCAGGGAGCTCGGCCGGGGTACCGAGGGCTTGACGCCCAAAGAATTCAAGCCGGGGGCCCCCACTACATCGTCACCGCTTCGTGGGACGCCTCCTTCGTCCTCATGAAGACCAAAAAATTGAACTACGAAAAAAATCTGAAGTGGGCGCTAAACAAAAGCAGCATTTTCCGGGGGGTCTCGAAGGACAACGGCCGGCGCCAGGTGGACGGCTTCCGAGTGGACGTCCAGAAGCCGGGGGGGGGACAGTGGCCGCTCCACAACATTGTGGACCAGTTCGTGGGGGCAATGATACGGGACAGAGCCTGGCACGCGAATCGGAAAAGCACGGGGGGTTTGAACTGTCTACCGCCCGGGTGGGGTCCAGAGCACCTCGAGCGCATCCCCTACAACCGGCGATGGATCGTCTGTGTGGAGATGGGGGGCGTGGAATGGGCTTGGAAGAGGGCGGTCGAGGCGCGGGTTACCCGGCTGACTCTGGCGGATGCGTACGCCATCGCGCGCGCGCCCCTCCGCGCCGTGATCGAGCGACGCCATCTGCTCGGGGGGGAAGACCGGCCAGATGCCGCAACGGTGCTGCGGAATCGAGTGATAGAGCCCCTTCGGGAGGTCGTCCTGTCGTGGCACGCCGACCGGGAGATCTTGACGTCGTGGCCTAGGTGAGCGAACAAAAGGGGTAAGTCTAACAGAATTCGGGTTACCCTGACCGCACCCAACGGAGCTTTGGTGTTTGGTGGTCGTGTGGATAGGCAGCAGTCGAATCGTTCTTCTCTTGAGCCCTGAAACAGCATAGCTTCCTAAAGTGGATGGTCCTCATGGAACAGTCAACTGAGGAGTTCGTCAATGTTTGACGGCGTTTCGCTGTTGGTGGTCAGTTTGCCGGTTAAACCCTTCCATTGATGCTTTGTCTTTCTTGAGCAAGTCCGGTGAAAAGAAAATACGCACTTTCGACTTGTTGTCTTCTGAGACGCCTTCTTGACAAGGAGCGGCAAAGATGAGTCGTCTTTTCCATAATTCCGGAATGCTCTCTTGCTCTCTTTAACATCCTCTCTGCTGATCCAGCGCTGAGGGGAGCAGCGCCGGCGGAGCTTCCAACGCTGCTCAGGCGGAAGAGCGTGCGGCAGACGCCAACGCCGGGCAAGCCTGCCCCGCCTGCGGTGCAGCAGAACACGGACAGGAGGCATGCCCGGGCTTGGACGCAAATGTGGGGGCCAGAGATTCGGACTCGGGAGGAAATGAGCGGAACGTTGCTGTCAGGTGCGTCGAAAGTCCAGGCTGCCATCTACTTGGAATGAGCACTTTCTTGCACTTTTATTGAAAATAGCGCCGTACTAATCTCTGCCGAGGACCGACGGACAGCATTCAGAAAGCTCTTTTCTATGAGATTTTTAGTCTTATAGGGGCGTTATTGTTCAGTCGATCTGGTGATTGCCTCCTCAGGTTCTTTCTGGAGTTGGTCACCGGCTCATTTTTGCGACAGTCCTTTTGTTGGCGGTCTTGCTGAAGATCTGCAGCTTCGAGCATCGTATCTGCAGTAGCGTTTGCGCCTCTGTTCTTCAATGTCCTATTGTCAAGAAGTGTCGCTGCACCTGAGGAAAGTCAACAGGGTAACCGACGGGTCCACGAAGGAAAGAAGCAGAGCATCGGAACACTCTCTAATGCATTTTTCCTTGCGTCACATTACGTCGCCGCCCTCGTCCCGTTGAACGCGTCCAACCGCGCTTCTTCCATAGCGCCCTGAATGAAGCCCTGATCTTGACTACAGGGGCAGAGGCCGCGGCCGGGGTAGGCCCGGGAGAGGCAGGACGCAGAGCCGACGCGGGCGGGAACAAGGACAGGAAAGAAGGTCAGTCAGCGCCTGCTCCTGTCTCTTCTCAATGAGCGTGACCGAAGTAATAAGACTAGAAGTAACCAGGCAAAGCTCTTCTACACCTCTATGTGCCACCATCCTCGAGCGGACGCTGCAATGAGCTGCTTTTAGTAAAGCCCTGTCCTTCACAAACCCGCCGATGGCGCCAACACTAGGCGCAAGAAGATGGTTGGGGGGGGGGGTCTTGTAGCCTGCAGTTCCCTTAAACCCGACAAAGGTTCACACGAAGACTGCCTGAGCACTGTCGTCCGCTGCTGCTTTCGTTCAGGGAACTTTGTAGACTGCTTAGCACTTTGTAGGAAGCCCCCATAAGATTCATTCTGGCTATCAGTGAACTCCCAAGAGACGGCATTCACTCTTCTTTTGGTTCATCCACAGGTGCCCGCTCTGCGGACCACTTTGCACGGAATTGTCCGAGCAGACCACAGGAAGGACAACGGCGGTCGCTGCGAAGGCGACGGTGAAGGAAGCGAGACCGATGCCGCCGAAGGCCAACTCGGCAAAAAGTTGGGGAGAGTTCAGTTGCTTCTAGAGCCCGTCTTCGAATCGACGCAGCGGTTCAACGAAAAGATTCTTCGCAAAAAATTCACGTCTGCCGAGGTGCTGAGAATTGACAGAGACACTAACGCAACTTTTGTGGACGAACTAGCTGCGTGGCTAGCAGAGCCTAAGTTTTTCGAGATGGAAAAGGTGGCAATTGGTGCGCGCGTCATGTTGACTGCGAACATCGACACTAAGAAATTTGCCGCGAACGGTTCACTGGGCACCGTTGTCGCGTTGCTACCTGCAAGTGGCGCTGTCAAAACCGTTGTCATTAAAATCGACGAGGGTGGGGCGACCATCGCTGTTAGAAGGACCAGGTTCCAGGCACGCCATCACAGCGGGCGCCGTTACTTTAAAAAAGCTTTTCCGCTGCTTCTCGGCTATTCGAATCGAAGTTGCTGTTTCGGCATGTCTTGTTGCCTATGTATTGACTCCTGTAGGGGTGAGCCGGTGAGAGCTTGCATGTGTCCGGCATGATAATCGATGCGCCTATCTTTATTAAAGCGAAGTCAATATCTTTCATGTGTTGAGTTGTCAGTTTGCAATGTGTCTCTAAGCCTTAGCCATGGATGTAAATGGAGTCCGGGCGATGTATTATAAAGATGTTTGCAATGCTGCTCCAGTACCATCATCCTGGTTTTTATTTATAGTGTCTAAGCAGACCATAAACTCTCAACACGTCCCTGCAAAATGGACGAGTACCTAGAACAGCACACAGTCCTGTTGTCGTCTGCCAGGTTACAATCTGGTCATTCAGATTTTCTCTCGACGACCCTTTGTCCTAAGATTGAAAGAATTGTTTTTGCTGAACTGAACGACAGGAAAGAACGATCCACCTGGCACACACTAGATCTTGTGCGCTCAGCAACCCTGGAATTCTACATATATTGACGTTGTATTATAGTCGAAGTGCTGATTGCCAATAACCAGGGTAATATTGTGCCCGCGTTGGTTCTATTCGTTGCGCACTGTTGCAGAAGCGATCATGACGAAATTCGTGGTTCAATCGATTGCCTGCATCATGATCGCACAGACAATGGTCTCATGAACGGTCATCGTCACATAGTCACATCAATCTGTGCATTGACGTTTCATGAATGTGATGGTAAGTTCTCAATCAAAGGGGGATCGACAAGGAACAATTGCCGTGCACAAACTTACCGCTCGTGACGCCGCAGTGCATGACCGTGACGGCCGCGGCTGCAGGCGCCTGCCAAATGATTCTATCATAAAGTCGGGCGCGGCCGCCAGATCCAATCGCTCGGCGGGCCGCCCCCGACCGTACTCAGCCTCAGTCAGAGGTCCGACAGTACCATACGGTATGGTAATGCGCCGAGCCAGGCGGCCCGCGACGTACCGCAGGGCCACATGGCACACATGCACTTTTGCGCGCGGGCGCAAGGGTCTATACACACACATACTTACCGTAGTCATGCAAAGCAACTTGCCGGGCCCTTCAAGTTTAGCCGGGGCCGCTCCGGCCGCAGCTCTAGGACTCGAATAACCACGCAACTTAACCGTCAGTGAACCCTGCTGGAGTTGCTCCTATAGATTCTTCCCCGCATGCAAATCTCACCCAACAGCGGCTTCACCATGACGATTTCATATCTGGCCCGGACTTGCATGCACACTTCACGCTCCAATTACACATACTTCAAACAGTAATGACATGCATGCAGAATTTAAGTCGATGTATACTCATGGTAGGTGAAAGCGGCACAGATATGCTCAAATGCTGCGGTGAGCCGCCCTTGAGTTTCCAATCTGTGAGACGATGTTAGTTCGGCTGTGAGAAGAACCATGCACACCGTGACATTTATGAGTCGATAACTACGCTCAGCTTCGAAGTGGCCCCTCACCACAATTTATTACCAGCACAGTAATAGCATGACCAGCCTGCTAGGTTGATCGCATCAGTAAAAAAACGTTTCACAATCACATGACTGATGCTGGATCACTAGACCGCAGAGCAACCTGATGCCCCAATTTCCCCTCTTGGAGGCTTCGTGTTGAGAGCGCTTTTATATACACGACTCTTCAGGGTTGCCAGCCCTCTTCTGGACCTCAGTGTGCTTCCCAAAAGTGCGGCGGTAAATTACCGAATCTGTTTGATGAAGATCGGACCATTGAACCTTTTCCGTTTCCGCAGCGGCGGGACCGCGGGCTGAGACTCCCTAGCCTCGCCTGCGGCATCGCCCTTGGGAGCAGTGCTTGTCGCGGCCGGAGGGCCGCCATCCAAAGCTCTTAAGCTTCCTGCAGGAGTTGCTCCCAATCTTTCAGTTCGCTTCGTGGTTTCGGGCGGCCCTCTCATCTGGGGTCCCCATGCAAAGAAGCCTGAATGCATGCGACCCTGAGTGCAGAAAACGGCGTTACCTTTAAAGCTTCACGTTTGCAAGAGTTTTGTCCCCCTCATGATTACAGTAAACGACCCCTGATCCTTGAAACGAGGTGAAGCAGCATATGACTCCCGACTGGCTAAGTCTTCAAGACGCACAACCCCTCCTCTCAAGCTTACTGAGTCCCCCAAAAAAAGTTGAAATTTCGGCAGCCTAAAGTGCACCCGCTTGAACGAGAGGTGAGAAGATAGCAGTCACTCACCAGGGTCCAGCTGTACTTGAGCACAAGGATCGGGGACCTGGTGGCTGACGGTTGAGTCAACTGGCGGTACTAGCACAACCTGAGTAGTGGCCTCGGACTTTTGAGGGACCGGGCGTTCAGTCGGCTCTGCACGGTGATATACAGTCTTAGAGTGGTAGAGATCGTGTGCGATGTAGCCACATCTTGCATTTCTTCTCTCGCATCGACCTATTCCGGCACGATGTGTAAAAATCCATGGCACTTCGTTTGCACAGAGATCCATGGAGTTGGACAGCGAGGGGGGTATCTCATAGACCTCCGACGCGACGGCACGCCGCTAAGGATGACCTCCTCGCAAAGTGTACGCCCGGGGCAAAGCTACTTCAGCGGGTCGAGTGTCATGCTTACCTTGACAAAGTGCTTTCTGCGGCGGCGAGGGAACAACGCGACGCCGACCAGGAGACATGGTCACGACGGGGTGAGGTGCGGTACCTGAGCAGAAAGACAACCGTTTCCAAATTCGCGCGTTCTAGGGGACTGGAACTGGGGAGCTGATTTTGGTCGTGGTCCCACAATGGACGACGTGCACCCGAACAGGGACGAAAACGTAACGGTCAAACAGCGCCCGATTTCTTCATCCTTTGCAAGAGCCTGCGCAGCAGACGACAAGGCTGCGACGATGAGCACATCATGTGCTTCGTGTTTGCCGAGGAGTTTTGAAACGATCCTTGTGGTGCAAGAGGAGCGGCCGGGTCGGGTACACCGACCAGGTTGAAGACCAACGCGCGCAGCTCCTCTCTCTTTCGAAAGGCAACAGATGGGTCGTACAAGTTGGTCGCGTCATGACCGAGGCGCAGCTGCAGAAAAACAAATTCGGCAAATCAAGACCTGTCAAGGAGAGGTGGCTGCCACAGCAGCCAATCGGAGGGAAGCTTGAGGGAAGGTCAGAGAAACGGGCCAGGACGAGAGAACGAATCAACAATCCGCATCGACGAAGCTTGTAGGTGAGCTTCGTCGATGAGAATCGTACAAGCTGACCACTCACCTTTTCTATAAGCGTCAGGTCCGTTAGGAGAAGCTCTAAATTCTGTAGCGCGAATATGGCACAGTCGAAGCTGTTGGGTTGTTGAGGGACCTGAAAGGCGTTGAGACGCAGAAATCTTGATGTCGGAGGAAAATGACACTCGTTAGAATCCGACACTTGTAACTAGAGAACAAACGGCTTTGGCACGGCCCACGTATACCCCCAAGGCCCCATGAGAGACGTACCGGTGCCGACGTGAAGGCGAAGTTAGTCTCAGAAAATCGCTGGGAAAGGCCATCTTGTGTCACGGCAAAGCTTGGATCGATGGCCGCCGGGGCGTACGAGAGCAGCCTGCGGTACACCGGCGTAACAGAGGGTAACTGCCATCCTCGTCCCACTAAGGCCCGGGTCTGGAGCGGTACAAATTGACCAGAAACAAGTTGGTGTATGGAATTCGTTCCAAATGATCTCGTCTGGCAACGTCAACAAAGACGAAGTTGAATGGGAGTCGATTATTTACGAGGTTTCAAAAGCAATCATCTGGATTGGCTCGATTAAGCAGAGTGAAACGAGGTAGGGAGTAGGTGACTCACCTCCGCACCAACTTCTCGACATGGTCACAGTGCGCGCCCAACATCGAGTCCAGATGTACCGCATGGCCGCCTTCCGCACCGGGGTTCGCTACGACCACCAAGCTGAAATGGTCTCTGCGGAGCCGACAAGTGCCATCAGTCGGCAACGATCGGGAACGGAATTGTAGTTGCAGCGAGGAGCTAGAAGAGATTCTAGACATTCTGGCACCGAGAAATGTGGCTTTCTGTAGGGGGGCCACAGTAGGCAGAGGGGAATCCCTCCAGCGCTCAGATGCGCCCCCCCAGGGCCGCCACCGATGCGCGCTCCCTCGGGGGGGCTGATGCGGCCGCCTCAGGACCGCCCCCCTGCGGTGAGGCTCCCGTCGGGAACCCCCTCTCCACGATGGTGCCGTTTGGAATGAGACCGCCGATGTATTTTACGCCCGGAATGAGACCCCCTGTTAGTTTTGTGCCCGTCATGAGGCCCCCCGGTTGGGCCTCCCCCGGGCATGGCGGAGGACAACAGTATATACTAGCGTCTGGCGTGGTATGTTGTAAATCATCGGCTGCGAAAAGCAATTTTCGAAAAAAAATTGATCCAGTGGCACTCGCCTGAAGTAGACCGGGAGGAAGAGTGCGCGGCACTGGAAGAGAAGCTCGAAGCTGGGGACTCCGAGGTTCTTGAGGGCCTTCTCGAGATCCCGCCGCAGCACCTCCTTTGACGTCAGGGACGCGCGGCGAAACAGGCGGTAAAGTTTGTCGAAGAGGAGCGGGTGGGCTACGATCACGCCGGATAGGTCCTGCGGGCTCGCATGCTGGAGGTACCTGCAATTTCGATAGGACAATTTGCGGTTTAAAGCATGACAGTAAGTCTACACTTCAGCTCCACTTGATGCGATTATAGATACTCAGAGCTGCTACAGCTGACTGAGGAGCTCCTCTCCATGGGTACCTGCCTCTCATTCCTGGAGAACTGCTGACTCAGCTTGCAAAGCTCACCAACTGTTGAAACAAGGACAGGGAGTCAAGAGGAAAGCAGCGGCTGCGTCCAGAAAAGGTTGGTTATTAGTCCGCGGGACAGAAGGCAGCACGTATTACTTACAGGGAGTAGAAGTCGACCATCTGCGTGCACAGCCACGCGCCAGGCTAAAGCTTCTCCATCTGCTGGTACCCGATGCGGACGCGCCGAGGGGCCCCAGGCGGAAGAAACGCCGGCAGACCGGGGTACCGGGGATCTGCGAGATAGATCCAAACGCCTTTAACACTCTGAGAACCGTGTGGTTTTGACGAAGTAAGGTACCAAAGGACCCCGACAGTGTCACCCAGTATGTAAATCCACCCTGGTGCTTTTCCCTTTGTCAGTGTCTTCATTCTACCAAGACATAGGGACACGTTGACATCACCTGCTCGCTCATGAGTCTCCGTGTCGGAGTCCTCCCGGTCTGACAGGTTCAGCCTCTCGGTACGTTGCCTCCTCCGAGAGCTCTTTGTCTGCGTTGGCTCCTGTTCCACCAAAGCACAGCTTGCTCAGCACTAGAAAAAAGCAACGCGGGGTGCTGGCTTGTATGCGAATCAGCACTGCCGTCGTAAGGCGTGCTTCTCAAGAAATCAAGCTTCTGCAAGCATTCGGCTTTCAACGCGTCGTCCCCCTTCCTAAGGCGCCGAGCACCGCCAAGAGAGCTGCAGGAGACTTTCGTTGTCAAGGAAAGCTTACCTTCTGTTTGCCAGGCGCGGCCGCCTCATGCTGGCTCGCCTCCTTGTTCGCGCCCTCGCCGTCTGGCTTGTCATCTGTGTACAAGCGGAAGGTGGTTTCAAGAGGGAGAACGAGAGGCTGTGGAGTGGCTGGGGTGTGCAGATTGGTGAATCTGCCAACGACCGACGGTCAGGTTGAGTTCGACAAGCGGAATCGAGCGCTGGCGGTGCTTCACTAGAAGGCTGAATTGGTTCAAGCACTGAGCGGACAAGACATCATGCACGGCCAGAAGAGTTGCCAGTACCTGCTGCGAGATCGCGCAGGCTTCTCCGATTGGATCTTGTTACCCTCCTAGAAATGCCCCCCTCTCCGGAAGTAAGCCGGGCACTCCCTGAAGCAACGTCCGTTTGAGGACGGGCAGGGGCGGAGGTGGCTTCTGTGAGCCCGCGAGCGTGGAGACCCGAGGCTGCGGTGCGGCGAGCGCGTGGGCGGGGCGCTGCACCGGAAGTTTCACCGCCTGCATAAAAAAGACGCCACGATTCAGCTTTGAAGACCTTGGTACTGGATCGTGCAAACAAGCAAGGGACTGGAAATACGCAGTGAAACTAGCCGTCTGAACTATGTCCCAAACCGCAGGAGAAGCCCCACATTCCTCAAAACTCCCACTCCCCTGCTTTCGGGATTGGAGACACTGGACGTGAACCACGGTACCCTAAGGAAATGGCTGTGAAGTATACCCGGATCAGAACCCTGTACGAAGACCTTCCCGACTGGGAAGAGCAGCTATAGGGCACTCAAAAGTTTTCATAAGGAAATGGGGTTTAGCCCGGAAACCCTAAATTCGTAAACCCTGATGGCTTGAAGGTTCAGTCAACAATTAAATAATACGCGACCCTAATTTGTGTTGCGCGGAGCCCGAAATTTTGGAGCCTTCGAGAACGCTTCAGTACCGACATACAAGAGCAGATATTTTGAGATCCAAGCCATGCTTCTGCGCCAAACTTGGGGAGCTTAAAGGAGACAGAGACTTAACACAAGGATGGTCAAAGAACGTGAAGCGTTCGAGTTCTTGGTTGGGTAGAGTTTTGATTGTTCACCTAAGTCTCTTGAAGTGCATGACAAAAAACTCGCAGATCAAACAGATACAAGCTTCAGCATACCTGCATGAGAGGGGCCAGCGGCAGCACACCCTTGTTCAGCATCGTCCCTCGATGGACCGACCCCGGTGGACCTGAGGTTCGCGAGAACGGGGGGAGCGCCGTCTATGGTGAGGCCTCGGCGCCTGTACCGCGGAGATGGGGGCGGTCTGTCTGCCGTCAAGTCGTCCAGGACCCTGCCGACGGACCCCCAGGAACCGTGCAAGCCTTTGAATGGAAGCGGGGGGACTACTGGCGACCCCGGCTCCGCTCTCCCGCTGGCCACTGCTGGGTGAACTCGCGACACTCCCTCTCTCCGATCACCACCTTCCCTCTCTCCGCCTGAGTCCTGTCCCGACCGCCCCCCTGACCCCTCTTCTTCCGAGCTCGCCTCGAGCAGATTACCATCTGTATCTTGCCCCAGAATCTCGAGCGACTTTAGTTCCAGAGGGTCGCGGAAGCTGCCGCTCTCCCCAGGGATCAGGTAAGCCAGAGACTTCACCCGTCCATGACCCAGTAGTTCATGAACCCCAGCCTTGCGCGCAAGGGCGCCCGATTGAAGCCCCGGGCCTGCCACGCGCTGGCAATCTTCGCCGCGCGGCTGTTGCCGACCAACTCCACGCACGCAGCATGGGGGCTGTATTTCCCGCCTCGCGCAAGGAATACGGTCTCGCCGGTGTAGTGACAACTATTTCGCTGGTACGCCAACAGCTCCTTGATGTGGTCGAGAGTTACGTGGGCACGAAGCTGCCGGCCCTTGGTTTTCGTCTTGTCCCCCTGCCGGTGCTTCATCTGGCGGGCGAACCAAGAGTTCTCTCCCATGCAGTCGTCGACATTCCCTTCTACTACCTTCCTTGACGCTGCCATGTACTTCTCGACGTCGGCTTCAGCGGCCTCGAGGGTGGGGAAGTTGAAGTACTTCGCGTACCGCTCTGGGACGAACTGCCCCACCTGAAGTAGAAGAAAAAAATCTGGGATCAGAGAGAGTGTCTCAATGGAAATCTGTGACCGCTGCAGCCACAATCTTTTCACCCCTTCGAAGCTGGCTGTAGGAGTTGTACAAATCCATGCACCATTTCGTCGGCGTTGACCACAGGTGCAGAGTATGTACGAAACACTTGACATCCCCTCAAAAGTTGCTGCTCGTGTCATACAAAGATTTTCTGCATAGGAGAAGCCACCCTTCTGTGTCTGAACAGGTGCATACGATCAAGTGCACAAAAATCAAAACACGAGGAGGAGTGGCCAAATGCGCAGGCGGTGCATCGGACCTAAGAGTAGACCACATTATACAAGCAAACATACCAGAGACATTCACAAACTGTCGCTCACCTCTACTATGTAAGCGGCGTACAGCCGGAAGTCGGCTTCTGCCTTTGCGAGCTGCAAGAGAAGGTGCTTCGTAAGCACTACAAGAAGAGCAGGTACACGAGACAACGTTACTTGAGCAGATTTTAGCAATCAAGGAGTGCGTTTTTGCGTTTATCACAGGGCCAAGTCAAATGCAGTTCCCGAGAGCTTGTGGACAATGTCAAATTGTATGGAACATGCTGGTCAAATGTTCCAATGCTACACAGTCAAATCTGAGGAAGAGCAAGCACTGAACGATCACAGTAAAGACCAAAGAAAGCGAAGACATATAAGTGTGGACTCGGCTTACATTGTCAAAGAGGATGGAGAGCTGGATGTTGCCCATTAGCTGCACCATCTCGAATGTCAGGTAGAACCCGTCCGGGTCCGCTTCGTACTGCGCCAGGAATTCGCGGTACTTCGGAAGGTAGATCCGGTAGCCTGCGGATCCCTTCCCGTCGACGATCTTGTCTATCGACGCAACGGAGAGGCCAAAGTGGTCGCTGAACTCGTTGGCCGCCGCCAAGGCAAACCTGAGTCGGCGATCTGCAATAAAAAGAAAAGCTTGATGTCTGAGAGTAAATTTAATGGTCGTGTCTGTAGTGCTGGCGTAGCGGGCATCAGATGGATAGCTTCAGACCACGGGCATGCTTAGCGGAGGCGCTGAAGAGCGTGGCCCCACAGATCCCCGGCCCACCAGCGACACGTTGTGAGTCGGATGGTATGCTTTGCCAGACGTTCATGTACGTACCAACAGCTGAGACGTTCCTGTAGCTTGACGGCTTGGAAAAAAGCAAAAGTACCGCGGAGAAAAAGGGCCCTGAGAACAGTGATCCCGGATCCAGCTCGGCTTACTGAGCTAAGAAGCCCGATGGTGACTGGATTATATATACGGCAGATCTTAGCCGGGCGCCAGAAATGGTGACGAACTGCTCGACTCAAAAGAGGACTGCTTGCCTGATGCATCTTCGGCCCCACCGGTAATGCAACCAAAGCCAACGCATAAGAGCGACGAAAAGGCGTCACCTATGGAAGTGTCCGCTCTTTGAAGGCCTCAAATGAGATCGTGTTTGACTACGCACCTTCTCGACGCAGCGGATGGCCCCGCTTGAACATCCGCACGATGTTGGCGAGCTGCTCAGGTGTCGGGTGCGCCCAGCTCCGCGATAGATGCCGGCCATTCCGCTCCGATGCCTTGTCCAACGCGATTTTGCACCGCATGGTTTGCTGCATGCAGAGAAAACCGAGTGGCTTTAAGAGGATTAGAGGTTTCTGTTGACAAAGCGGTTTGCATATCAATGGGGCTCTCAGCGGGGAGGAGTGAGCAAAGGCGGGTCCGGTTCCTCAAGATATGCTTTTCGAGATGCAGCCAAGATGTCCTGGGGGGGGTGCTGCGTCAAGATCAGAACAAGCAGATTCCTCCAGGCATGCAGGTTTTTCCAAGGAGGTCAAAAAATGCTCTCCTCACCTCGGCCCACACCTCCAGGGGCAATTCCTGGTCCACGAGCGTCAGCACGTACGTACGCAAGTAGGCCGCCGTAATGTTTACGGGGAGGGCCTGCCGATGCTCCCGCACGAAGGCATCAAAGTGCGTGTACCTAATCTGCAAAGGCGAGAAGAACCGGCTGCATTCTGGGGATACATCGAAAACGCACCCCCCCCATAAGCCAAAGAAGAACCTTGCCGGGAAACTGGATTATATTTCAGCGCCAAAATAAGTCTTGTCGGATGCAAGCGCCGTTGTTTTAAATGGTAGGCACTTTCTAACAATGAGACGCACTACAGGTATTTCCATGAACTCAGTTGTGCGGCTTGATACTGCCCTCATTTCTGGCATTGATATTAACCCTCACGTTAAGCCAACCAAACCCTTAGGGTTATCTCGCTCTTGGATTCACCTTCAGAAAAATGTTCATTTGATGACTCAATCTAGATATAGGTTGCTCACCTCCTCTGAAGGGTACTTTCGGTCCTCTGGAGCAACCTCCTCGATCAGCTCGCCAAGTCTGCTCTGGATGAACCTCTTGTGGACGTCCGACAGTTGCACACGCCAATCTCCAGCCTCGAGGGAGGGTTGCTGGAGAACAAAAAGCTTTGACTTAGATAGTGTTAGTTCAAAAACCAGAATGAAAGCCCGAAAAGGAGTGGGTAAGACATATGCAAAGAGACTATCCAGCTCATAGTACTATAATTACAGGGCAACATTGAGAAGGCTGGGCCTGTTACAGATCTGCCTTCTCTTCATGAAGTGAGAAGGTATACAGGCGAATGAACTACGAACTTGCATCCCCCAAGTCGAAGAGAAACGTTGAAGAGAAGCCGCATAGACTGCAACTATCTGGATGGTGGTCTGAGTTTGGACACTGAGTGGACACTTGACTGCACGAGTCGATTCCACACTCAAGTACTGTAATGATTTACGCTTAGACAGAAAAAGAGTCTTACCGCATCTCTGGCCTCCATGTGGTACAGCAGCTTATCCATGAATCGGATGAGCTGCCTTGCGACCGAGTCCGCACGCAGAAAATGCTCGCCCCGTCCCGCCCTGGCCTCCAGCTTGACAACCCATTGGTTTCGGCTGAAGTCTGATCTAAGCAGGGTTTCGATCAAGTCCCGACCGTCCTTTCCAAACATCGTTTGGAGCGTTTTGTAATGCTGACCGGTTTTCGTCTCTGTCAAGAGTTTGCCGTCCCGACCAAACAGGTTTAACCCTCCATCCCCCAGGATCTCAATCATGAGGGCTTGGACTTCCTCAAGCCCCCAGATCCCTCTTGGCCGGTTCCCCTCGCTAAGCGGGCCCCTGGTTTCCGGCTCCTTCTTCTGCCACCGGTACCTAGACCGCTGCTCCTTGTCGTCATCGTCCATTGGGAGCTGGTGCATCCGCAGCTCCTCCAGAAGCCTTTGTTTCCCAAAACTCATCAATCTGAGTAAACGCTGGGGTACAGTGTGGTAGCCCCAGGTTTCGTCATCAGGATCTCGCGTCCTGGACGAGAGAGGGGGGCGCTGAGGGACTGGGAGATCTGGCCCTGCAGAGGGGACTGACTGGGCTGGCAAGGCTTGAGGAGACGGGGTTGTCGCTGAAGACGACCTCTGGAGCGGGACTGCGCCCTGTGCAACCGCTGGGCGGGTGGCTTCACTTTGCTGTGCACCAGAGGGGCTGGGAGGCTGGCCCTTGGCATTACGCTCCCGATCACGGATGACTTGCACGGCTTTTGCGGTTGGAAGAAACGAGCCACTTAGTATCATTGGAACTAACGCCGGGGGGAAATGCTCAGGAGCGGCGCCATGGAAGGAGGTGTAGCCTGAGGCATTGAACACCCCCGCACCGGCCTCAGGCGGAACATAGAATCGGGAGTATTGGGAGGGAGCTAGGTTGTGTTGGTTCTTTAAGTTGGCATCAGCTAGCAAAGATCTGTGGCGGAGGTTGGAGGGAAGTTGGTTCTCCTGGCGGGATGCCACCAGGCTGGCGTTTGCCTTCATGTGCCGCCTGGCGACGCGGCCTGGGCGCCCTTTTGTTGCGACACTTCCCTGCAGACCGAGCAACTGAGTTACTAGACAGCCAGGAGGCGCCCTAAATTGACTTCCAGATTGACGAACATGGTGGCGGTCTGCGAAATCCCATGGTCAAATGGCTTTTAATATGAGTCTCCTAGGTTTACAAACAAGTCTGCGTACATATTCCTGGCACACTTACATGATAGGCTAAGAGGACCAGAGATCCTCCCAGCTCATCAAATCAATTTTATTGGAAATAATTTCTCAGAAAGAAGGTTGCAAAGTTGAAGGCACGAGCAACTACTACAAGCTGACTGTGGTTCAAAAAGGTTGAGAGCCTCACCCTTCGTGGCCCTTCCACAACAGGTGGCTCCACGCTTGACCTTGGTGCACTATCCATAAGTTGCGTCTTCCCAGGCTCACGCGGACACTGTGGGACCAGCTGCACCTGCTCAGGAGCAACCTGAGCTGGAGGCCCCGTCTGCTGGCCCCTGCTCAGCTGGACAATGTGATGGACTCCTGTGAAAGCCACGTTGCCAGTAACCTCAGGATCAGACTGCAGAAGAAAACATCCGGGGATGAGTCTTCACAGCTTGAAGATCAAGACCTCTGGAATTGACAATGGGTGAGCAATTCTGGAGGGACTAATTTGTAAAGCTTAAGCTCAAGCTCAGACCTGTCAAATCAGCACATGAGTTGCACAATCTGATGCATAGTCTCTTGATGTCCCTGTAAAGGAACCCCCAAAAAACAGGCAAGGGATCCTCTGCTCCCTTCATTCAGGAGCAACTGGCAGATGTCACTGACAAAGTACACTCATCTTGAAAGAAAACTCGCTCTGTCAAGATTTGAAGTCTTCCCAGGCTTTATAAGCTGTCTGCGTTCATGAAAGAAAAGCTTCAACTCAGCAGCTCCTCGACCATGAGAACCGAGGACATTCTGCAATGCTGTCAAACCACCTTAAATTTGTTTCCCCCAGATGAAATGCATCGATGATGTGCGGCAATCTCCAGATCAGTCTCACCTTCATCGATTTGTTTCCCATTCAAAGCTCGTCAATGATGCAAACCTGACATGTTACAATCAAACTTTCCCCGGTTCAAGCCTTCTCCCCAACAATGCTGACCCTGGCTTGTCCAATTCATGAACCACATTGCTTTCGGCTTGCTTGTCCAGATAGACTGGACCTATGCATTCAGTGGCATCAAAACCAGTGGCTCTGTCCTGAAGTTGACTCCATTGCTGAGTGCACACCTCGGCGGTCATCTCAAACCACTGAGCTCGATTAGGTTCACAAAGAGCTGCCCCCAGTCTTTTGCAGCATTTCTGACATGGTGCCGAGGGACACGTTCTCTACGTTAGGAAGCTTGCACAATGCACGAAAGAACACCAGCGATGCTCTGTGCATCTTCTAGCATCAGGCAGCCATGGCCGTGGCGAAAAGGTCATGATCCTGCAGCAGCATCTTTGCCACTTCCCTTCATTCACCTCCGTCGTTCAACAGCGTTCCTCTCCCTTCTCTTCCGCCATGATCAGCTTGCGCCCCAAGTCCCCTAGCCTTCCTGTGTGCTTCCTCAAGACGATGCTGGACTGCTGCGGCGCCTATCGGCAAATCCTGCAAAACGCCGACAACCAATCTGAGACGTTCGTTAGCGCTCAATAACGCTTTCGGACGGCCACGATCGAACAGAAGAGAACTCGGACATAAAGAGGGTTGACGTCATCGTGACGTCACACTCTCTCCTAGCTTGGAAGAGGTCCCGAGTTCGATTCTCGGAATCCCCCTACGCGTTTTTGACCTGTTTTTGGGCAGATCTGAAGCGATGCGTTCTCTACAGCTTCCTTTTGGTCGCCTTCCCCATCCTATGCCCGCCTCTCAAACGCCCATGTCTCGAACGCCCATGACCTTCATGCAAACAACGAAACGGGGGGCTCCGCCCCCCGTACCCCCCAATCGCCCACCACGGTCAGGCTCAATGGCGGCGGCCCCCGCGTTTGGTCTTCGACCACCGAGACCGCCACCATCAGCAATCATCACGGGTTGGATGCGGGTGCTTGCCGCTGTTTATATCGCAAAACTGCTAGCTACTGTGTTATATTGTCAATCATAAGTTGTCAACAATCATTGCGCCAAAGGAAAGCTGCTGAGAAAACTAAAAGCAACTACGAAGCTGAAGCAACCAAACAAAATGTATGGAAAGTGTTTGCCTGTTTCAAAATTGTGCAGCTGTGCCCTATCATCTAGGACCTCGTTGCGAGTATGAAACGCTCACGCGAAAGCGTGGGATAGCTGAACCGTACACAATATTGCTGTACATCTCATTAATCCACAATAAGCAGATTAGTGCATGACTCCGAAAGTATGTACAGAGTCTCGCTTTCCGTTTGAATCTCGAATCTTCGGAAATCTTGCTTGCCGAAAGTCACGGTAGAACACGGATCCAACTTGGACTATGCTATCTAAAGATCGTTTACCGAACTTGAACTGAGCTGAGAAGTTTAGATGTGCACTGTTAGAAACAACTTTCGTCCCAACAATCATGAAGCGGCGACAAGTCTCGGAGATCATTTATGTAATGCCCAATTAACGACCCATGTGAAGTTGCCACTTTAGACGGTTAGAAAGAGCTCACCTGAAAGCTCCAAAGTCACCCGGAACTGTGGAACTGGAACATTGAAAGCGGCACACCACGGCACCACATCCCGACTGAGGGCCTCGCAACGCATCCGCCATTACAATCCTGACAACAAACTTCCGACCACTTCGTCATGCAAGATTCATAAAGCATTCGGATTCTTCGGAACCTTGTGAGCCGCGTAGCCATCATTTGCAACTGCAGGGTCAAGCGACAAGATTTTTGCGTGTGGATTATTGCATGGTTCGAAGCCTGGCTTTCATACAGCTCCCCATCTTTCAAGTATTTCAACCAGCTCAAGTAATCTTCCGGCGTTGAGTAGTCTGAGCACACGGGTGGCGAACTTTGGCGAAGAGTCGATACGAAGGTAACAGAATCGAGCAAGATGTTACGTTGGCAGTCTTCATCCTCCTTACGGATCTCAACACCGGCAAAACATGGGCACGAAGAGAGAGCCTTCGACTTACACCAACTTTGAACTCTTCTGATATATGTGGCAGTGCAAGAGACGCTTCTGATGCACTGAGTGCTGAATGTCCCACAATCTTATTCAGCATCCTGGTCGGCTCATTTCCTTCCAAATAAACATCTTTCGGCTCCGTCTTTCACGCTTCACATTCGTGCTGGCAAAACGCCACCCGAGTCATAGTTTGGCAACAATTTAACACTTCTGGCGTCGATATGGATTGCCAGTGACGTGACCCTATGTAACGGCCGTCCTGGCTTTCAATCCTTGCTCTAGATTCGTTCCATGAATTTGGCGCTTAGTCCAATGGATGGTCTCAGGGTCACGCAGCACTCTAGGCGAGCAGCATCTACACTCCCCTTGGTACCACATGACATGGGTCCCGGAACCCATGTCAAAAGCAGGGGCCTCAATTGCGTTGTTGGGCCGCTTCTCTTGACTTCGTCTTCATTGGCACTGCCAGTGGGCCATTGCTTCCGAGTTCCAGCTAGCCTTGCTTCTTCTGCTGCACTCTTGCCCGGCCTTTGCACCCCAACCATTTCGTCTTTTCAATAGAGCAATTTCTGCTTAGTGACGTTCCTCTGGCATCCTTCGACCGGAGTTTTCTAAGGCGAATGACGAGCCGAGATCTGAAGAGGAGCTGCAAAAGCCTTCCGTTGCTCAGAACCGCAAACCCAATACCTTGAGGTCCCACTGATGCGAGCCTTCACTTACGATTTCTCACTCTGCTGCGGCCCGTGACGGCAGTACGGACGCCGCTTAAATGAAGCCTTGCACCGAACTTGCACCGTCGTAGCTTTCAGCTTTTTGCAAAGCCTTTCATACTCAAACGAGCGGCGCCTCTGCGCGTGCTTAGCAATAGCAAACAGGTGCCCTTGAGGGTTCAAATCTTAAGCTCTCAGCAAACACAAAGCGTAAGATGCGACCTGGCAGAGCTTGAGTTGCAGTCTGCTCTGCATGCGCACCGCAATTGGCAAGCCTCCCGAAGCCGCGTTTTGTGCTTTCATACCTGCCAGGGCGGCGCAGTTAGCACGTCGAAAATTGAACCGCCTGCCGGGCACCAGGCGGGCACAATACAGCAGTCTGTACTTACATAGGCTCGCTGAGCCTTTTGCATCACACTGCGGGCAATTCACAGTGGTGACGGATTCAACTTGAAAGCCGCATCCGAAGCGCAGGTTCGGTGCACTTTCACTTACGTCACAGGTTGCCGTTTGGCTCCGCCAGCGCCTGGGCTGATCGAGCCGGCGCAAGCTACTGGTGACGAGAAAGAGACTCAGCGCAGCTCCGGGGTTTGTTCAAGTCCCCTCGGCAGTCCAGGGATGCTTCATGACGACGACGACATTCAGTGCGCGCGCCACTTGAGTCAGCTTCCATCATAGGGATCTGGCGCCTCGCCCGTGAAAGCGGAGGAAAGCTGCCGAGTTGGAAGTCCCCCGTCCTCTTCCGATGTCATAGCTAGAAAATCCCTGCCCGCTTTTCCAAGTGAGAAAAAGTCCAATCCTTTCTGGATCGATCGTGGAAGGCGTTCGCAGGCTCAGTGAATTGGACGGTAACGTTCAGTTGTCATGGCGGCCTTGCAATGCCTCTGCTATGCATAGAGCGGCTGCACTGCTACATGCAATTAATTCATCATAAGTCCGCAGGCGGATCTGCTTATGCAACTATAGTATGTAAGGCACGTACCTTAATTGGGACAGGGCCTGCAAGCCGTACGTAGCGCTACATATAGGCCATAATGCCCGATCATCAAATGGTTACTGACAATCTTCTTATCATTATGCATAATCTCATTTCCAAACATACGCAGCCGCGCTCCTGGTGAAACCGGTAGCTTCAGAGGGGACGGTTCCGGGCCCGTCACATGCATCATGTGTGACTGGTTATATATGGAGCTGCCCTAGGTAAGTTTGCAGGATGTCTGACCCCACGGGCCGTACGCCGAGTTTTATCGTCGAAACGGGCAAAGCGAAGCAGGTCCGATGGCGGGCCCGCAGAGCGGCGCCGTACAGCGGCAAAAATCCCGATTTGTATGGATGCCCTCTTCCCTGCAGGAAGAGGCAAGCCAATATAATCTTAGCCTGAACTTGATCAAGCACTCTTCTCGTGTCTCTCAGTCAAAAGAAACTGTTCTGAAGCCGTCCCCCTGACTGACGATATGGTGTAAAACCCTGAAGTCCAGCATGGACACGAATTTTCTTCAAGACAGATCTCCAGTCAGGACCGCAGAGGCACTCCAACAGCGACTCCTCACCTGACTGATTGCCACAATCTCCATCTGGATGTAGCTCCGCCCGAGGTTACTGGACCTCAACATGGAGTTGGCGAACTAAAATCTTGGGTCTGACAAGGGAAGCAGCAGGCACTTTGGGATGCGGACGGTTGAAGAGGAGGAGCGCGCGGTAAGTAGGGCAATGAGGGAAGCGCGAAAGCCCCGGTGCTGAGGTCCTGCCATTTAAGGGACCTTTGGGTCGAGTAACCCTTTCGAGTCTGCATCTGAGCGGCAGGACAAAAAGGGAGTTCAGAAGCTTGGAAGGAAGGAGTAACACCACATGCATTTCTTCCAGATTGAGTACCAGCAATGCGCTTGCAGTATTTTCAGTAGGACTCTCTAAGAAAATTTTAGGGTGGATGCGTCCCCACAACTCTGATTGCTTGGTGAGCAGATAGACACCTGGAGATGGTGATCTTCTGGATCTCGTGCATCATTTCCACCGGAAAGTTTACTCTTGCCTTGCTTTCCAAATCAGTTTGCTATATACATACGAACAGCGCTACTAAGTGACCAGGTAATCCGACTAGAAGATTGACATCAGAGGGCTCTCCATGGTCCGCATATGAATGATGATGGTCGATTGTGCTTCGAATGATTTGGTGCCATTGGAATCAGTCTTATGCGTTACTCATTCCATTCAACAGAATCAGCAAGCCTTCCTCTTCAGATTCGCGTTCAACCATATGGAACGTGCGCTTCGACTAACCATGTTATGCCAGTCCAGGACGTACGCTGCCTCGTTGACTGTGCACTCCACCAGTAGTTGGGGATGCCGCCGCGCATGACTCTTCCACAGCCAATAAGCCGCGGTGAATGCAGTGTGCCCCTCGCCTTTGACCTCTTCCCAATCCCAGCCCGTGTAGAAGAAGAATCTAAGTTCTGGTCTCGATGTCTGGCCACCAGATTTGCCGGCCTTCTGTACATCACTGAGAGGAGCCTGCATGGTGTGAGTGGTAGGAACCGCAGGTTGCAAATATACAGAGGTTGTGCTGGATGTGGAAGAGAGTGGAGGGATGGAACTGGGGATTGTGCTGTTGGCCTGGGGGTCTGCTGGGACAGATGGGGGGGTGCGCTGCGGAGTCTGCTCTTGAGGGAGCTCGAGCCCCCCGCTGCTGAAATGATTGGCTGACCACTCGAAGTATCTTGTTGCTGGGGTTTTGGACCACTGCATCGACCTTGGTGCGTTCTTCGGAAGGAAGATGTGCTTGTGCGCTTGTTGGAAGTTTGTGTTTTTGGTGTGTGTAAGCGATTACAAGAGGACTGGAATCCTTGCTGCAAAGGATGACTGCTAGCGCAGTGACGCATCCCCTTTGAGTTTGACTGTGAAGAGACGCTACTGAGGAAGTGGACAGGAGGTTTGGTCAAGAAAGCAACTCCTGTCTTGACGCTCAGTGGCGGCGGCCCAGGAGGTGGAGGTGCTACTTGGCAGCTCCTGGTTGAAGTCGGAGCTGCAGACACGTGGCTGCTTGCGAGGATGCCTGCTGGCACATATGTCGGCAATTCCTGAGCCTGCATGGCAAATGTTTTGGACTGATTTAGGACACTCTTCTCCTTTATTCTCTGCTCAATGCAGTGGACACAGCATGAACACTTTGAGCGGACCACCAAAAGACTGCTCCTTAAACCCTCCTCAGGTCTGTTCTTGAACAAAACTGCAATGTGCGTTGAGCGGACCACCAGCTGAGACTGCAACCTAGACTTTTTGAACAACACTCTGTTGTGAGGTTGAATGGATATCTCCTGAAACATCTTCCTTTGGAGAGAGCTCTTTTGAGCTTAGCTGTAGGTACTAGACGTGTGCTTGGACCAAGTCTCTTGTACTGTAGCTTGCAGCAATACAAAATTCTCTCATTCCGCTGATCTCTGATCTGAAACTTCTCTTCAATAGATGTAGTAGCGCCTCCGCTAATGGTGCGGCACGGAAAGGTCGTGAGCACTCCCCCTCAATTTGATTGCTCTAAAACCGTTCGATCAAGCTCACACCGTTCGATCAAGCTCACACCGCATCGACGAACTTGAAAGAGCCGGATGCAAGCAGGCAAGCTTTCTATAAGTTTAACCGTCGGATCACGCCAGATCAAGCTCAGTGGACTGCTCACACCGGCCCCAAGAAAGTCTCTACAGGTTCCGTTTGATGATTGGCCTTTCCGCCGGACCGGGATGGCTCTGCGGAAGCTGCTTGCAGCCCTCAGCTTGCCTCAGCTCCCGGGCCGACTCCGAGTCTCCGACTCGAACTCAAGAGTCAGTCAGAGCTCAGCCGCCTAGGGCGAATACCCTGAGGGCTCTTCTCCGACGGTCTCGTCACTTGCCGCCTCAGATCTGTAAGAAGGAATGAAGACGGCGCTGAATCATGGCGCCTAGATCCGCGCATCAAGCCTGAGTTCTCCTTCCATCACGCTATGTCAAACTGGGCACTAAGGCTCACGTTTTGCACGGCCGCCCCCGTATTTGAATGAAAGCATAGAATGGGTTTCCGGAGCATGTCGTCCCTCGGAGTGACCGTCGGGAACGGTCTGCCGCACAGTAGCAGCGCATCAAACATGGCTGAGGCTGGCACGCAGACACCCCCGGGGGCAGGGCATTCAGCGGCCACGGCGATGAAGAAGAGTCGCAGTAGCCCCCATATTGCAAGAATGCCGCCTGGCGCGGCGAGGACTGGGCCCTGTAGCGAGAAGATTGAAGAGTACTGTCGTGCAATGGGGGGAGACCGGCCAATACACAGTGTGCTCATCGCAAACAATGGGATTGCAGCGGTGAAGTTCATACGGAGCGTTAGGTGAGGGCCAGCTTTTCAATGTAAGACTGGTCGAGAAGAGAAATAAACGAGAGTGGCCTCTTATTGAAGGCAGAGAGCGCTGGCTCTGAACAATGTTACTTTGGTGGTTACTTAGTGAGACAGCTTCTTGAGCATGGTCAATATGAAATAAGTCATTGGTTGGTGGCAGCACCACCAATGCATCATCTTCTTCAGAAGACTGCTCGGTGGCAAAACCATGGGCCGCCGATGAAGGTGTACGAGGGCCGCTTATCCTTCCGCTAAGGAGCAGAGTGCGGGGAAAAGTGTTTGATCGATTTCATTTGCCACGATGCTACGAAACGACCAGTCGGTGGCACCAACATGTCCTGTTACGCTTGCGCCTTTTCCTTGTCTGCGCACTCAGTGCCTGCAAATGACGGCATCCTTATCTGAAGATAAGTCTTTGTCATTGTGGCTGATCATGTTGGAGAAGTCTCAACTTCTTGTCTTGATCAGCGCGTCAGGCTGACCTACTCACTTGGTGCCTGAGAAAGGCAACTTTCACAGAGTCCAGTGTCCGTCACTGTGCCAGAGCCTGACGGAGGTGCCGCAACTCCTTGTGCTTGATCAGCCCGTCAATTGTGACCTTGCAAAAGATTGCACCTGTTCGTAATTGGCAGGACATGGGCGTACGAGACATTCTCTGAGGAGCGCGCCATTTTGCTGGTGGCGATGGCCACCCCGGAGGACCTGCGCGTGAACGCGGAGCACATCCGCATGGCAGACCAGTTTGTGGAGGTGCCGGGGGGGACCAACAACAACAACTACGCCAACGTGCAGCTCATCTTGGAGGTGCGGGGTCTTTTTGATAACATCTGGATTACTTGTTCTTGGTGTCCTTGACACATAGAATGCATGAGGTGGAGGCTGCGTGCCCCTCATCGGAGGGCATCTAAAGGCAAGGCGCGACAATCGCTGGAATCCCTCATGGAGGGGGACTATAGAATCCTTTCATCGGGAGGGAGGGGCAGGACTGGCCACGGGGGCTGGAAGACATCGCAGGGCTGCATAGGGGAACAAAGATCCCACGTTTTGAGGACGTGACTGATGGCCGCAGAATCGTGTATGCGGACTTCTCTTTCCAGTCTACATTGAGGCAGTGCAGCGATCGGCTGTGACGGATTTTTCAATCACAGAAAGAAACCTGAAGAGGCACTGCGAGAGAAGCCGCGAGGCCAGATTGCCTACCACTTGAAGGTTCCATAAGCCGGCTGTTTGAATGAGTTGCCCCTCAAACGGCAGCGTTGTATATTCCCAAGTCACAGCATCGTTTAAAAGAAATTGACGGAGGTTGTAAGAGCGCTGAAGCTGTCTGATGTGCCCTTGAGTTCTCTAATGTGCATAAGCCTGGAACTGTGTAGCGGAAGTTGCCTACTAAAATCACGACATTGTTGCCCTGCCTGTCGCCCTTGTGGGGAATCAATATGGATCATGTCTCTTGATCAAAGGCCAGACGTTATCATGTTGAGTGCCTTTAAATCTGTTGGTTGGCTTGCGACTCTTTTCACGGACTGCTACATTCAGAACGACATCTCGTGCGTTGATCTTCCCCCCATCAGCTTTAAAACACGCCTGCTTCGTTTCCCGTTTTAAGCTGACCAGAACCTGGTTCAAACTTCTGACAAGCATGGAACTCCCTTCAATGTGGAAGCGATAGAGGCATTCTCAACCGGTACCATAAGCTGACTCCGCTTGCCGCTATTTCGCTCGCAGTTGATCCTCATCTGTATCCTACGGGATTGATAACCCTCGCAAATTTGTTTCGTCTCTACTCTACAATCGGAGACTGCTCGCAAGCTATCTTCATCTAGAGTCTACATCAACCAAGAATTATCACCTCTGGTGCAGGTTGCTGAGAGGACTGGGGTGGACGCAGTCTGGCCTGGCTGGGGCCACGCTTCCGAGAACCCCGATCTTCCTGAAGCGCTCGCTCGCACCCCGCGCAAGATTGTGTTCCTGGGGCCCCACAGCAATGCGATGGCACTCCTGGGGGACAAGATTGGGTCGACGATCATTGCGCAGGCGGCGGGGGTTCCCACCGTTTCGTGGAGTGGCTCTGAGGTAAGGAGCTTGCTTCTGAAGATTCGGAATCCCTACTGAAATTTCGTGGGAATATTGATCAGGTCATTTCGTCGTCGGTGCAACGGTCACCCCTTACATTCCGGTCGTTGGGACCGTAGAAGTACTGCGCATGCATCTTCAGACTTTATTGGTCAAGAAGGACTCGGGGAGGGGTCCCTTCTGAAAGGACAGCCTTCTTGTGATGCGAAACGAGACAATTTCTCCTTGTTCAATGATTGATCATGTAAAGTGGCTGCTTCGCCGCCAACTCAGACTCTGCTCCCGAAGCACTTACGCCTAAGCAGCGGGAGCAGCCTTATGATTCCTTTCTGTGGCAACGAAATGACGTTTTTGGGCTGCAGGTCCGCCTGCCAATGGAATTGTGCCGCGAGCCGATCCCGGAGGCTGTCTACCAGCGGGCGTGCGTGCAGACTCCTGAGGAGGCAATGACGGTGTGCCAAAGGATTGGCTACCCCGCCATGATTAAAGCGTCCTGGGGAGGCGGCGGGAAAGGCATCCGGAAAGTGAGGAACTCTCGATGCCCTCCCCACCTGAAGCAGCTTATGAATACCTATTTCAGAACTTCCTAAGAGCAAACGCCATCGGAAGTTTGAAAGCATCTTCGACATATCGCTAAGGCGGTATAGTGACAGAAGAGCCTGCGCAGAAAGGATTCCCTAGTGGGACGGGAAGAGCGCTGTGAGCAAGGTTGTAGAAGAATCTATATTAGGCCTTGTGCGGGTTCCATGCACTTGAAGAATTTCTGGGAGCAATCTGCTTTCTCGCCTTTTCCGCCAGACTTGAGAATCAGTTTCCTCCTTGGCACCTCTCCCGACTTGAAGTACGCAGACTTGGCCCCGTTCTGGAGCACAAAACAAGTCCTCGGACCGCGATGTGTCCTTCTAGCAGTCCCCAAATCAGACACATTTAAGATAGCCTACGCTTCTTGAAAGGTCCGGCCCAGGTGCAGAGCAACGAGGGTGGGACAGGGGCAGGGACAGGGTTTGTCACGCATTCGGCAAGCGAGGTACTCATCTGGGCCAATCCACACCTTTGACTTGCAAAACCCTGTGATCCCAACATTGTACACTTTCACAAGCCCAGATCACCCTCCCCCAGGTGCACAACGACGAGGAGGTGACGGGCCTGTTCAAGCAGGTGGTTGGCGAAGTCCCCGGCTCGCCGGTGTTTATCATGAAGCTGGCCGCGCAGAGCCGCCACCTGGAGGTGCAGCTGCTTTGCGACGGCCACGGCAATGTCGCCGCGCTGCACTCGCGGGACTGCTCCGTGCAGAGGCGCCACCAAAAGGTGGGCACACAAATTTGTTATTTGATTATTTTCTGGATGGACTCACTTGGGTTGTTGTCGTAGATCAGGAGAGGTCAGAGAGATCTGGAAGCAAGATCTGCTGCATTCGCAAGGTCGTTCCGCGAAGCAACGCCACCAAGGGGACTTGGGGCCGTGAAAGATTGTCGATGAAAGCTTTTCTATGCTTGATCGCTTGAATGAACGGGTCACTGCTTGTAACGGTCGACGTACATTGAACCAGGCGGCCAAATGGTCAGCAAGTGTACGACCGACGAAGCGCTCGTTCAGAAGTTCGGCGCCTCCAACTCTTGTGTTGGCCCTGCATGGTCACGTATGATGACATTCTTGCCTCTGGGCCCACTTACGGCAGCATTCTTACGATGCCAATATTGGATTCTTCCGCCCCTTCCTTTTTCAGATTATCGAGGAAGGCCCCATCACTGCTGCGTCCGCAGAAACCGTCCGGAAACTCGAGGACGGCGCCTGCCGATTAGCGCGTGCCGTTGGCTATGTCGGGGCCGCAACGGTAGAGTACCTCTACACTGAAGCAGACGGCGCGTTCTACTTTCTCGAGCTGAACCCCCGGTTGCAAGTGGAGCATCCAGTGACGGAATGGATCGCCGGAATCAACCTGCCGTCAGCACAGTTGAACGTGGGCATGGGGATCCCCCTCTGGAAGCTCCCAGGTGCGCGCTTTCTTCTGCTGGTGAACGTCCGTGGCCCTCTGGCTGGTCCTTGACATATGAGTATGTTCGTGAACTTTATAGAGGGCAAAACATCGGGCTTTTGGCTAAGATGTTCTGATATTTTGTATGTTCGATTCCGGCAGGAGCATGTCAGTCAGTGTGAAAGACCGATTGATCGGGCTGGCAGGAGGTTGCAGTAGTCGGGGCGGCGACGTTCTGTCCTGAGAAGATAGAAAATAAGGAGGGGACTTGCCGCTTCGAAACGTCCAATGCTACTGGTCGGGTTTTCGGGCAGCAACTGTCACCGCTCGAACCCTTTCGGTGTTTGGCATATGCTTTCGGAAAAGAATTGCAGCCGGAATGTCGATAAAGTCTCTCCCCCGTTCCTTGCATGTATGCAACCTCTCTGACGGACCTCCGGACTCAATACTGTCATATGAGCGCTCTGTATTTTCTGCAGAGGTGCGCCGGCTTTTCGGTCAGCTGGGCGGCGGCAATCACGACACGTGGCAGGCTGTCGCAAGCGTGGCGCAGCCGTTCGACTTCGAGACAACGCCGAAGGTGAAGCCACGTGGCCATGTAGTAGCCGTCCGTGTCACGAGCGAGGACCCAGAGGACGGCTTCAAACCCACAAGCGGCAGAATCCAGGAGCTCAGCTTTAAGGGGCGGCCAGACGTCTGGGCCTACTTCTCGGTCAAGGTGGGGCGAACAACTAGGCGAACTGTTGTCGTGCAGGGGAAGCTTTCGGTACTGAGGAATTTTTGAATGGAAGAACTGACGAATCAAAACAGACGCTTTTACTGGATTGACAAGGGTCTCATGGGCAAGGCGGAAAGGCGGGCCTTTTTATGGTTGGTATCTGATGCACATAGCCAGTGTCGGAGACATGCGGACTCCGGGTTGCATCGTCGAGTGGAAGATCCTTTGATTGTGTCATGTGTGTGATGATTGAGGTGACCGTCACCTGGACGCTAAGGTCTACGAGATTTGGGGTTGAGGATAATTGCCTGTTGAGGTTTGTAGTTAAGGTACGCGCAAAAGTTCATTTCAACAGAATGTTGACAAGCAGAAAGGTTGCGGGGCTCGAAGTAAGCAGGTTGCGAGGCCTCGCCTCAGCCGCTTTGTTCACTTGACAACTTGGGGACGGCATCGACGAGCGTTCAGTCAACAAGTGAAAGTTAGTCAGTAGCATTGACATCACGTTCTATTTTTGAATGGCAGTCGGGAGGCGGCATCCACGAGTTTTCTGACTCCCAGTTCGGCCACCTGTTTGCGTTTGGAGAGAGCCGCGCAGCTGCTTGCGCGAGCATGGTGCTCGCGCTCAAGGAGGTCATCATCCGGGGGGAGATCCGGACAAACGTTGACTACGCAGTTGATCTAATCCAGGTATACGAAGCATGGACTCTAGATGTCGTCGGCGTTTGTATGCTAGTCATCTGGAAAGTTGGGGTTTGCTTATGCGGGCCGTCTGATCTTGAAGTTTCCGGGTGACTTGCTTTCGAGCAAAAATTCGAGTCAAAATTGTCCTCATAGCCTGTTTCTGAGTCGTGAACTCCCAGTGGATAGAATATTCATCAGCGAGGGGAAACACTGGTCAAGACCCGAGTCTTGATTGGGGTGAATTTTGGGCAGGTTTGGCTAACAAAAACGCGTCTCTTTCAGCAAGTACCTGGTAAATGCAGGCCCCTCTCGCAGCTTCTGCTGATGTCCTTTCGACACTGCCCACTTCGTGCCTTCCTTTTCATTGGTTGCTTTTCGATATTTTCCCCTCCTGCAGAGCAAAGAGTACCAGGAGAACCGCATCCACACAGGCTGGCTGGACAGCCGCATCGCGATGCGGGTCCGTGTGGAGCGTCCGAAGTGGCACATCTCCGTCCTAACAGGCGCCTTGTATGTGAGCGCCAGAGTCGATCCTCTTCTAGCCAGTGGCTTCTTCGCCTGCCCATTGACGACAGCCCATCTTTGGGTCGGCCATGTTGTTTGAATCTGCTTGCTTTGCAGCCGTCTATGCTTAGCCTCGTCTTAAGCACCTTACTTCAATCTGTTAGCTTGTCGGTATAGACTGAGTCAAACCTCCTCCGAGCGAAGCATTAGAGCGACGAGTTCGTCTTTTTCTTATCTATTGGAGCTTGACTCTTCCCACTTCTCGTTGCACAGAGAAGCACCATGCTCGTCGCAGCCCGCGTCTCGGAGTTCATCGGCTACCTGGAAAAGGGGCAGATCCCGCCGAAGGTGAGCTCGATCGCTGAATTAACACCGCCAGAACTCTCGCACCTAAGCAGCGTAGAATGACCGACATATGCTGTAATATGCCCCTGCATACGTATCTTTGTCAGGTTGTTCTTGCAACCTGCCAGGGGTTCCGACCTCTGACCATTGTCTGCAAAATGTCTTGTACGGGATCGTGGAGACTTAGCTTGCTTCCTGTTGCATGCTTGGACGCTACCAAACCAACTCTGTCCTACTTGATATTTCGCACCATCAGTTTCTGTTTCAACGGGCCACCTATACGGCCTTGATGCTCGATTGCCTTCGACCAGCGTACGTCACGCCTAGACTTCACGGGCCGTCGTCATGTGTAGAGTGTGATGCACAATTTACACATTTTGTGTTCTTACCGGCTCGGTGCCACGTTCGCACGGAAGCCTTCGTCCAGATGTTGTCGAGCCTTCGTCAGCTCACGTTCACGCTTTTGCCGTAACGTGTCATGTCTTTTCCCTCCTTCAACTTCAGATCGCAGGCCGTGCTACTTTTGAACGCAGGTACTCTCTTTCTCCTAAGACTCCCGCTAGTCAACATTGTCATATCCGGGCTCCTGCAGCCCTTGCTAGAGCTTCTTTTCCTTGCGTTCCCTTGCGAGTCCCCAACCCCACCCCGGGCTGCCACGTGTGCAGGAGATTTCGCTGGTCAACTTCGACGTGTCACTCAATATCGAGGGCGTCAAGTACCACGTCGCCGTCACCAAGAAGGGCCCCCACAGCTACCGCCTCCAGCTAAACGCGTCCCAGGTGGACGGGGAGGTGCATACGCTACGGGACGGGGGGCTGCTTATGCAGTTCGACGGGAACAGCCACGTGGTGTACGCGGAGGAGGAGGCCAACGGGACGCGGCTGCTTATCGACGGCCGGACGTGCCTGCTGCAGGTGGGACTGCATGCGGGCTCGTTAATTGCATAACGCTTTCTGGTTGCGTCTTTTGAAGTTGAAAGCTGTGCAAATGGCTATCCGTGAATCAGAGGAGATTTCCGCGCAAAACGAAGTGCGTCAAAATTGGTCAACATTTCGCGCAGGCTTGATACATAATACGAGGAAAGTGAAAGAAAAGCCCTGCTGTACTGGATTTGCTAGCCGGAAGGAATTCTCATCGAAGCTGCTTTCAAGAGCTAGTCCTCAGCATTGTCGTCTCTGGTCGTCGCATGTTCCTTCCGTCCAGTCCCGTCGGATCGTTGAGGCACTCTTAGGAGTCCCTCTCATCCTTATCCTGCAAACAGCCGCCCCTCATCCATCTGATCACTAAGGACCCGCTCCAAAAGCTTGCTCTTCACAATTCCCCTTTTCGGCTCCTTCCGTTTCCATTCACTCACCCGTGTCCCTTCCGTTCCATTTCCTGCAGAACGATCACGACCCGTCTCGCCTGGTGGCCGAAACGCCCTTCAAGCTCCTCCGCTTTCTCGTCGACGACTCGCACCACGTGTCCGCCGACCAGGCCTACGCGGAAGTCGAAGTCATGAAGATGTGCATGCCGCTGCTGACGCCCGCCGCTGGCGTCATCCACTTCCGTACGTCCGAAGGCTCGGCCGTCCGCGCCGGGGACCTGATCGCCGCCCTCGATCTGGACGATCCGACGGCCGTCAAACGCGCGGTGCCGTTTGAGGGATCCCTCCCCGAGCTCGCGACGCCGACACCTGTCACCGCGCGGGCGCACCAGCACTTCGCGGCGGCCGTCGAAGGTGCGCGCATGATATTGGCGGGGTACGATCACGACATCGATACGGTGGTCGAAACGTTGCTGTCTTGTCTCGACGACCCGCACCTGCCGCTTCTACAGTGGCAGGAAACGATGGCCGTGCTTTCTGCGCGGCTCCCGAAGGAGCTGCGGAATCAGCTGGATACGATCTGGCGCGATTTCCGGCTCGCCGAGGCGCTTGCGGTGGAGGACGCGTCGTTCGAGTTCCCGGCGTCCTACTTCCGGGAGACGCTCGAGGTGGGTGACAGGAGTTCTTGCCCGACGCGTCCTGGTTGAACCGATTCGTGGCACAGACTTTCCGCTGTTCCACCCGCTACCGATTTCGCTTGCCCTTTGGAGCATCTCCTTTCACTTCGCCTGTCTGCCTCATTCCCTCAAAATGAAAGCGTTACACTTGCTTCCTTACGCGCTCAACACCGTCTGTGCTGCCAAACTTTGAGCTTTCACGAGGGCGCTTTATCAGGGTTGCATCCATCGTGTTCGCCTGTCCCCACGTCGAGAAAGCACGCCGGTGTCAATAGTCCGGACCGCTCGTTCCTATTAAGAGGGCCAGGTACGAGAAGGCAGGTGTCATCCGGCAACCGCATCAGAAAATCCATTCCAGGGAAGTCAATCCTCAGAATCGTTCGCTGCCACTTGCAGGAATACGTGGCATCCGTATCAATGAAGGAGCAGCCGTTGCTGCGGGAGCTGGTAGTCCCTCTGGTTAAATTGGCTCGCAGCTACGAGGGCGGCCGCGAAGGCCATGCGCGTGCCACCGTGGGAGAGCTCTTCGACGAGTACCTGCGGGTGGAGCAGCTGTTCAGCGACCAGGCACAGGTGAGGACGAGCGGAGGGAGATAGAGCGATTCGACGACAAGAAGACAGAGGCCTTTTGTTACTATTGCTAAAGGAATCCAGGTCCCAGCAGAAATGCTCGCATTGAGTCTCTTACATCAAGTCGCTAACATTTACGCATCAAAAGACAGCGCGGATGAATAGAGCCTGATTTTGCCGATAATTGCTTGGATCTGTTTGCTGCTCAGACAAGCAGGTGAGTCGGACCCCGTCGTGGGCAGCTCTGCTCTCCTTCCTAAAACGAGCGCTCTCTTGAACGCTCCATTGCTCTCTGCCCGGAATGCCAACCCAATCACCTACTGACATTCTATTCCACATTCCTCATGGCCCTGGAAAACTTCACCCGATTTTTGACTTCGACGTCACCATTCGTCCTAGGCTGACGTCATCGAGGGCCTGCGCGTGCGCCACAAGAAGCACCTGGAGCGCGTGGTGGACGTCGTCCTGTCGCACCAGGGCGTGCGCCGCAAGAACGCACTCCTGCTGCGCCTCATGGGCTCGCTTGTCCTGCCCGCGCCTGGCGCCTACGCCACATGGCTGCACCGTCTCGCCGCTCTCAGCCATGCCAGCCAGGCCGAGGTGGGCAAGCTCCTGTTCGAATACTGTTGTTCTCTGTTTATTTCTTATTCTGTCCTTGGCTTGGCCCTTCCTCGTGCCTCCCTGCTCCGAGCATCAATGCCACATGGCTGCACAGGCTTGCAGCGCTCAGTCACGCAGCCAGGCAGAGGTGAGCGATGTACTGGTTGCTACTAGCCCCTCTTCGTCTCTATTTTCTCCTCCTTCTTCTTCCGTCTGGGTCAGTTCCTCCCTCGTCCTGCCCGGCTCTGGCGTCTACGCAGCCTGGTTAGCAGCGCTGGGTCACGCTAGCCAAGCTGAGGTGCCCGTTATTGGTCCTTATTATCGAATTCGGATTGCTTAACGTCTTAGCTTTGCAACGCTCAGCCGTGCCAGCTAGGCCAAGATGCGGGGCGTTCTGATTTTGCCTGCATGTTCGGGGCGCTTGGCCTCGGCGACATCACTGCTGCCCTTCCCTATCCAATTGCTGAGTATTGCCTCCTTCGCGTATTCACCCGGTTCACACTCTTCAGCATTTTGAAAGTCCGAAACCCCGTTCTTGCATGCTCTTTTGTTCTGGAACACGAGGAACAAAGTGCCCGCTCTCTAACCTGGGGGATCCTTTACATAAGGTGGCGGCCCGCAGCAACCAGCTGCTCGAGACCACGCAGCTGTCCGAGCTCCAGGCGCACATCGCTCGGACGCTGTCCGAACTCGACATGTTTGCCGCGGACGCAACGGACAGCCCGCGCCGGTTGTCCAAGCGTGGGGCGCGGCTGGAGGAGCGGATGAATGAGCTCGCGGGCGCGCCGCTACCAATCGAAGATGCGTTGGCCGCGCTGTTTGACCATGCGGACCGAGCACTGCTGAGCCGAGTGATCGAGACGTATGTGCGGAGGCTGTACCAGGTAAGAGGGTAGTCTCACGGAAACCCTCATGTACAAGAACTTCTGTGCACACTAGGACAGCATGGAAAAGATTTATTATAAGTCTAGATCACACCCGACTTTTCTGGAAGTATGTCAGCGGTGCCCTGCACAGATCCGCTGACAGGGAAGTTACGGCCGTGGTCTTGATTCATGATCTTACTTCACAAAGTACTCAAAAGAAACCTCCAAGCCGTGATCCTCTTGAATGAAAGCGAGGCTGCAGGGAGTCTTCAAGATCCGCAATCTGCCTGCTACATTTTACCCCAGCTGTAGTAACATCAATCTGCAGGGGGTTCTTGATAGTTGTTGTTGCCACGCAACGTCTCGGAGAACAGTGTCGGCAAGTCGGATCCACTGCATCGTTGCTAACTTCTCATAATTGAGCAATCACAAACCAGTTCCTTCGAAAATTCACACCTTTTTCCGCTGCAGCCGTACCTGGTGCACAACTCCATCCAGTTAAAGTGGGACGGCCCCGCCCTCGGCCGCCGCCCCCGCGCCACGTGGCGCTTCCTCGACATTGCCACGTCAGCAGCGGATTGCAAACCGCGATGGGGGGCCATGGTCGTACTGCCGAGTTTGAGGCTGTTGGCCCCCTATGTCCGGGCGGTTCTGGCGGACATACGGACGGAAACGGAAGGCGGGCGCGGAAACGTGCTGCACTTAGTTCTGCTGGCGGCCAATGAGTCGCTGAGCACGAGCATGGACAGGTAGGTGGCTGAGGCGCTGGGAGGTGGCAAGCAGACAAAAAGATGTGCGGGATTCTTTGTTTGCCAGGAAGACGGAATCGAGAATGCTTGGATCCTTTCTGAAATTGGGCCACCGTCTGTACATCCACTGCGCTTCTCGAGCTCTAAGTAACAGAACGTATCTAAAACCTCTGTTTTCAAGGCCTTACTTTGGGAGGATACCAAAGACCGACGACAGCACTAACCAGACCGTTCTAAGGTGTGGCGTGCTCTACCCCAGAGTGATCGTCGTAAAGACTTTTGAGGTAACCAAAATTAGGTCAGACCTGGCAAGGTCATTTGTTCGGAGCTTAAGTACCCCCGAGAACACCGGTATCTACTACCAACGGCAGCACTCACTACAAACGTCGCTCATGATGCAGCGGGGACGAAGAAGCCGCGCAGGCGCGTGTTGCCAAGCTGACGTCAGCGCTCTCGGGGAGTGACCTCAGCCGGGCCCTTCTCCAAGCGGGCGTCGGCACCGTGAGCTGCATTCTACAGCGGGATGAGGGGCGCTCCCCAGCGCGCCATCTGCTGACGTGGCAGGGGGCTGATTCACACTTCCGCGAACAACCCCTGCTGCGGCACGTGGAGCCGCTGCTGTCGGACCTCCTGGAGCTGGTGAGAATACGCTCTCTATTTATCGACAGTTTGTAAGGCGGTCTGTTGCGAAGAACGGGCCTGCAACATGTCGTAGATGGGGGGTCGTCCCTTTTGCGTCGATGCTAGAGAGTCTCCTACCCCGACATGCCGTGTGAATTTTAGTCGAATGTTGGTTGATTGGTCTCTTGCACACAGATATTGGAGTCGCGGCAAGGTTTCTCCGAAGACGAAGCTGCTAGGTAGTAACTTCAGCGTCCTACTAATGCCCAGCGCTACCTTGAAGCTTCCTTTTCCAGCCCTTTCGGAATCCAGTCTGGCTTCTTCAAAGGATTGCACTGCGCAATCTGCTCTTAATCCCTTGCTCTTAACATCCTGACACGTTCTTTCTGCAGGAAAAGATCCCTAGCCAGTCTCCAGTCCAGTATGCAGCGTCCCGAGACCGACAGTGGCACATTTACACCACCGTCGAGAAGCCCAACATCCGGCGGATGTTCCTCCGGTCACTCGTCCGGCAGTTCTTCCTCACGGCCCCGTTCTCCACCCCAACCCGCCCGGAACCCGCCCCTAACCACCCCGGCTACATTAACCAAATCGACCGGAACCTGTCCGGTACTTTCAGCGACTCCGAATCGCCCGCGTACGGGGAAGTGGGCGCTGAGCCCCGGGATCGCTTTTTGGATACCGGGTTTCGATCGCCTCAGGGGGGTGCTTTCTTCAGCCCTTCGGACCCCCCGGACGCAGTTACGGCGGCGTGCGAGGCGTTGGTTCGGTCGATGAAGGGGGCGCTGGAGGAACTAGAAGTGGCGACGAATGAGCAGAAAGGCGACCACGTTCACTTGTACATGTCCGTTCTGCAAGAGGTAGAGATGCCACGTGTCAGTAGTAACTCAGAAGCGGAGTTTAGTGGGAGGGAGAGCGTGCTTGCCGAAAGTGATCATGGCGACAGCAGAAGCAACCCAGCGGAAGGTGTAGAAAGTTCCTTGAGAGAATCGCAGGAAGCTTCACAAGAAAACCATTCACGGGGTACTGAGAACGGTAGGTTAGGAGAAGCGCCTAGTGCTTTTGTGGAGAGTAGGACCGACAGCAATTCCGAGACCAACTTTAGAACCCCGCCTGCTGTTAGGGTAGATGTCGAAGGTATCGGAAACCGTCGAAAGCGACACGTGGCAGCCATCGGTGTACAAAGCGCTGCAACGGGCACATTGCCGGCAGCCGAGTCGGATGACGAAAACACGGTCAACCTTCTGCAACGAATTGTAAAGCGGGTTAACGCTAGGTTAGGCAAACGGCTGTACAAACAGGGGATCGCGATCTGGGAGTTCAGGATAGCGGTCCGAGGGGGTCAATCGACGGCTGCCACGTGGCGCGTCGTTGTCGAGAGCCCCTGCATCCAGGGTGACGTCATCCAAGTGTACAGAGAAGCTTTCGTGGATGGCAGGCGGGTTTACCAAACCCCGGAGGGTTTCCCCAGCGGTAGCCTCGACGGAATTCCTGTCAGCGCCCAGTACGGGCCCCTGGGAAGTCTAGAGAAACGGCGGCTCGCAGCGCGGCGGGCAGGGACCACGTTCTGTTTTGACTTCCCCCTCGTCTTCTCCACCGCGCTCGCGTCCATCTGGGAAGCCGAGCTGCGGCCCCCCCGCCGGGTTTCGTCCGAACCCGGTTCCGCTAACCCGTCTAACCCGGGCACTCCCTCTCCTTGGCGGCGGGCCCAGTACAACTCCTTCACCCGCCCACGGTTGCAACTGCTCCCCTCCAACAGCACCGGCGCCGAACTTCCGTTCTCGCCCACGTTCCGGACGGAGTCGCCGCTTGGACGGACGTCCGAATCAGGTCCAAACGGGCCGCCAACGTTTCCTTCTGAGCCTTTGGTCGAGAGCCGGGAGTTAGTTTGGTCGGCGGAGGGGGCTTTGGTAGAAACAGACCGCCCGGCATGTGCGAACGAGATCGGGATGGTGGCCTGGAGAATGAAGCTGCGCACGCCCGAGTGTGCCGAGGGGCGGGAGATGGTCGTGGTCGCGAATGACTGCACGGTTGGTGCGGGGTGAGTCGTGGAGCAAGTGTGGACTATTTTCATTTTTGGAGCAGCTTTCTTTCCGCTTTCGACGTCTCTCAGGAAGGCAAAGCCTGTGTCATCAAAACTCTACTTAGCGGTTTAGAAACAAAAAGCGAGGGTGATTCATGCAGGTTGGAGGCCTTTGTGGGCATTCCTGTCTTGAAAAAGACTTCCTTTTCAATCTCGGCGTTCTAACAAGACAAGCCGGCAGAGTTTTAAAATCTGGGACCAGGAAATCAGACAGATATGTTTCAGGTAGGAGTCGGCTACGGAAGTCCAAGCAAGTTGTCTTGATTGCTTTTGGACGAGCAAAAAGCAGGCGAGCTTTCAATAACCCCTCTAGTTGAGTATCGTGTTGTGTCACTTTCGCTGCTTTCGCCCGGCAGAACCTCATACAGCCCTCTCAGTTGGGCCTTTCCGAGTATGTAAACCCAACAATCAGAGTCGAATTGCCTGGTGAGCTAGCCAGACTTCTGCTCTTACTTGTCCAACCAGTAGGATCTTCCACCAATGTTGCAGGTCGTTCGGGCCGAAAGAGGACGCCTTTTTCCGTGATGTCACCGAGCTCGCGGCGCGGGCGGGGCTGCCGCTCATCTACCTGGCCGCTAATTCCGGGGCGCGCATCGGCGTCGCAAAAGAGGTGCAAGCCGCGTTCAAAGTGGGCTGGCTCGACGACGGACGTCCGAACGAGGGCTTCCAATACCTGTACCTTTCGGACGCCGACTGCGCGAAAGTGGGGAGCTCCGTCTTTGCGGAGAAGGTGAGGAAAGCAACCGGAAGCCCTGATGGAGGCCTCTCTGTGTTGCTCAGGTTCTGGTCGCGTGCGGTTTGTACACCAACTCTAGGTGCCAGGGGAAAGAAAGGGTTCGAAGGCGGAGACACTCAAAACCCTTTGCTCCCAGATTCGAGGGAAAGCGCCTTTCGTCAAAAGCCTGGTGACAAGCGGTATGCAATGGGAGGGCGATCAATTGCTCTCCTTTCGGGTAGATGGAGAGAAACGATCATGAAACAATCGCGAGTCACTTCAGGCAAGACCGAGGCCGGGCTTCAGAGCTCAAGCTTTCACAGTCGACTCTCTGCCGACGAGTACCCAACGCGCATGTCTCCTCAAGCTACCGGTCGCAGGACCTTTTCCAGGCCGTCAAGATCTTCAGCCGCTTTCGCAAACGAATTTACTTACGTGTGCATCTTCAGATCCCGCCAGAAGTAAAGAAAGATTTGTGGTCATTTGCCGACAATTGTATTTTGTCCGCACAGGTTGAGCTTCCGTCCGGCGAGGTCCGACACGTGCTCACCGGAATCGTGGGCCGGGAGGACGGATTGGGCGTCGAGAACCTGTCGGGCTCCGGGCTTATCGCGGGCGCTTATGCACGCGCTTACCAGGAGACGTTTACGCTGACGTACGTCACGGGGCGGACCGTTGGGATCGGTGCGTACCTGGCGCGGCTGGGGCAGCGGTGTATCCAGCGGCTGGACCAACCGATCATCCTTACAGGTGGGTAACCTGATCCCGACTCATGTGTTTGGACAGCTTCGATTTGGTGCTATTGTTACTAGCTACCGGAGTTCCGCCTGACCTACGAAATGCACGTCCTTCGTAAGCATTCGTTCAAGTGACAGACAACTCTATGCTTGAGAGGAGTGGTCAGGGGACCTCTCAATCTGTATGGTTTGACAGGTCAAAGAAAGCCTTCTTAGTGGTGCCACGCAGTACAAATATGCGCAGCCATTCAAAGGCGCTGGGCGTTCAGATGTTTCCGGATTTCCGTTCTCTTCTCCTGCGCACGTTTTCAGAGTTTCAGAGCGCTCTTCGCTCTGATTCTTGCTGTCAGGATACAACAGCTGATCGCGATCGGCCTGCGGTCCAGTGCCGCAAGTATGCAATTCTCATCTCCTGCCTGGCTCGCTTCTATGAGTCCAACCGGTTCTTCTGCATTGTGGCTGAAGCCTGATCACGCCAAAAGCGCACCCGCATGTGGCGCAACTGCTCATCCGTTACCCCTGCAAGTCTCGCTGATGCTAAGGAGCTCTATTTCACAAAAGACTGAAAGACGGAGTTCTGCGTGACAAGCTCTAAGAGAGCGAAGCCCACCTTTGAACCTTTTGGCGCTGCAGGTTTCTCCGCCCTCAACAAGCTGCTGGGCCGGGAAGTCTACACGTCGCACATGCAACTGGGCGGCCCCCACATCATGGCCAACAACGGAGTCGTCCACCGGACCGTTTCGGACGACCTCGAGGGGTGTACGGAGATCCTCCGCTGGCTCGGGTACGTACCGGAACGTGTCGGTACGGACCCCCCGGTCCGCTTCTGGAACACTGACCCAGTCGAAAGACCGGTTGGCTACGTCCCCGAGCAAATGTGCGATCCCCGCGCGGCAATCCAAGGAACGCTCCATCCGACGGCCGAGGACGCGGCGACTTCTCATCCGACGGCGGATGGAATCGCGAGCTTTGATCCGACGGCGGAGAATTGGCTGGGGGGCATTTTTGACCGGGGGTCGTTTACTGAGGCGTTGGCGGGTTGGGCGAGAACCGTGGTTACGGGGAGGGCGCGGTTAGGGGGGATTCCGGTTGGGGTTATCGCGGTGCAAACCCAGGCGGTTATGTGCTACATCCCAGCGGACCCCGGACAGCCGGACAGCGCGGAAAGGGCGGTGCCTCAGGCTGGACAGGTGGGAATACGCTCAAGCCTACTCACTCTCTGAAGAGCGCAAGGAGAAGGCACGGTTTTGGCTACGTCCTCAGATGCTGGCTATTATGCAGAGGGCTTGTGTAAAACAGCAACTTCTGATGACATGATTTTTGCACATACTCATTTTTACCAGCAAACATCCTGTCCTATCTGTTGTGTCAACGGATCCCCAAATGATCGCTGGAGCTAAGGAACCCAATCGAATCTTGCCTGAGCCGCAACACGAGAGAGAGCGTATCGAGAGAGGGCGTTTTAGGAAGTCTCTTGAGCAGTAAGAGACTCATAGCCTCCCAGAGTGGCCTTTTGCAGAAAGGGATCTGCCATTCAAGTATTGCTCCGCACTGCTTCTCTGCAGGTATGGTTTCCGGACAGCGCGGCGAAGACGGCGCAGGCGCTGTTGGACTTCAAGCGGGAGGGCCTCCCGCTGTTCATCCTGGCCAACTGGCGGGGTTTCTCTGGGGGCCAGAGAGATCTCTTCGAGGGGGTTCTGCAGGCAAGTGAAGCCATGACGCCATATTAGTAGTGATACGTCTGTACACAAACAAGTTTGCGTGCACATTGGAAGTTATGGCTGAAAGTTTCGTATCTTAGTGTATGTTTCACTCGTGCGAAGTCGTCATTACCAGGGCTTGGAGGGGATTCTGTTGTCCTGAAAGGGACCGAGGACTGGCTTCGGTCTTTGTTGTAAACCTTCTTTTCCGGTATGCAATCCAAAGGCCCTAGATTGGGTCTTAGCGCTCACTGCTCTTGGAGCCACGAAACATTCGTACGGTGTGAACACGAGGGAGAAAGTCGTCAGAACTCTGGTTCGACGAGCCCTCAAGCTCAAGACCCGTTGCAAGCTCTCCTTTTCCCCCCTCACCAACAGGCGGGCTCGTGCATCGTGGAGAACCTGCGCACGTACACGTCCCCCGTCTTCGTCTACGTCCCCAAAACCGGGGAGCTCCGCGGCGGCGCTTGGGTTGTGGTCGACAGCCAGATCAATGCGGACATGGTCGAAATGTACGCGGATCCTTCCGCCCGAGGAAATGTCCTGGAGCCCGAAGGACTAGTGGAGATCAAATACCGAAGTGCCCAGTTGGTGGAAACCATGCACCGGTTGGATGCCGGACTGGCGGCGCTGGACCGGCAACTAGAGGAGGAGAGGAAACGGCCGCAGCCGCTGCCGGGGCGGGTCAAGGAGCTGCAGGACAAGATCAGGGTAAGGCTGGAGTGGTGGGTCTTTGCTTGGAAGTTTTCGGGGTTCATTGCTGGAGAGCCTGCTTCAGAAGCGGGTGCAAAAAGTGGCTGCTCAGTACAAACACTTGGGACCACTCGTCTTGCTCCGCGGATCTTTTTCTGTACACTTGTAGCTCTGGATCTGGAAGAGCACTTGATTTATCCCCGCTTTGCTTGGACGAGGATATGGGAAGGGAACGAAGAGGGGAAGAAAAAGCTCAGAGACCAAAAGTGCTTCTCGAGCAAACATTTTCATCTCGATTTCCTTTGCGGTGGCTGCTTTGCCGGTGGAATAGCAGGTAACCCTTCGCTCTGCAAATCCTGGAAACACAACGAGAGTTGAGAAAATCGAGGGAGATAGCACAACCAGTAAAGCGACGTCGTTCCCGCCTGCCGCATCTTTTGTACCAGTTTGTGATGCTCCGCTTGGCGGACCGCACAGAAAGACAGTAGCTGCAGAAACTAAAGGAGCAGTCAACAGCAAGACCAGAGGACACCCATTTATGAAGCGGCGTTTTCCCTCTCCTTCCCAGGACCGCAAGCGGCTGCTGCGCCGGTATCCCAGCAAGGTGGCGCTGCGCTTTGCGGCCCTGAACCTAAGATTCGTACAGCCAAAGGAAATTAAACAGAATCAACTAGAAAAGCAACTTTTCCTCCTTTCCTGCAGGACCGCGAGCGGCTGCTGCGGCCGGTGTACCAGCAGGTGGCGCTGCGCTTCGCGGACCTGCACGACACCCCGCAGCGGATGGCCGCCAAGGGCGTCATCGCCGGCATCGTGCCCTGGGAGCGCTCGCGCGCGCTCTTCTACAAGCGGCTCCGCAGGAGGCTCGTGGAGGTGGGAAACTCGCTTCCGTATCGTTTCTTCACGTTCTGTTGAGATCCCTTCTCGCTTGCTTGTTTTGTAAACTTGTCGTTTCGTGCTTGTTCCCATCCTTCTGTTTCCTCGATTCGGCGGGAGGCTCGTCAAGGTGCGCTGCTTGTCTTTGTTTTCTCTCGTAGCTTTGGTCCTGGAATCTTTCTTCGTTGTTCCTTCCTTTTTGCTTTCGGGTGAGCAGCAGGCTCCTCAACGCAGCCTTCTCGCTGATTGTATTCTTCTTCTGAATCTGCCGGCGGACAACCTTTGAGCAGAGACAGAGAGACAAGCAGAGTCTTTCTTATTCAGGAGTCCCTGCTGAAGCGCATTGTCGCAGCGAGCGGGCGGCGGCTATCCCGGCCAGAGGCAAAGGCGCTTCTTCGCCAATGGCACGTTCAGTGTCCCGGTCCGGCTGTGACAGATTCCCCGGGCGATATCCGGGCGCTTCCCAGGACCCACCGTGACCCCGGGAGCACCCGGGAAGATCAACCGGGTAGCTTAAACCCGAGCGAGGGCGACCAAGAAGCCGTAGACGCCCGGCAAGGGTCGCCCGTAACCACTGAAGAGTCGCCGACCGCCCATCGGAACAGGCTTGGGACACATCAAGACGGTTCATCTGCGTCGGAACCAACAGCGGAACCCAACGGGCATCTTTCGGACGAGCGCTCGGATTCTCAAGTAGGTCCTAGCATGGCAAAACGGGAAGGGTTTTGGGCGGATGATGATGCTGTGGTGACGTGGTGTGAGGACAACCGAGGGTGGATCGACGCCCGGTTGAAGGACCTGGAGACGGATCGGGTGGCCCGGAGCGTCGTAGAGTTGGTCCAGGGAGACGAGGGGCAGGCGGGGCTTCTGAAAGGCCTGCAAGCGCTGTTTGAAAAGCAGGTGAGTCGCGCTTGAGTAGTCAGCTTCGTGCTCTTCTTCGCGATCGGGGGCTCGTGGGCTGATGCCTTGCTCTTTACAGCGCCTACACGTACGAGACCTCTGAACTCTTTCAGCTTTTTCCGTCTTTCCACAGCCGTTGCGGTTCCTCCGAAGTCAACTTTAGCCAGAGTGTGTTTGCACAGCCTTTCTTCGCATCAATAAAGCGCCGCGCCATTCCGTGCGTCTTTGTTCAGACCCCTTCTCAAAGTCGAACATGTACACGGATTGCGGGTCATCAACGGGCCACACCATATGTTCCCGTGACGGCACGGTTGGTCAGGAGGTCTTTGTTTACTTTCTGAAGTGGTCACTCCTGACTGACAAACGCTTCGAAAGGTCGAGATGCTGTCCCTGTCGATCCTGTGCCATGCATTGCTTCTCAGCCTGCTGTTTTTGTGCAGGAACCGGCCGAACGAGGCGCGTTCATTGAGACCCTTCGTCAAATAGTTGGAAAGTAGGAGTGCGTGTGTACTTTGTAGGGAACGGGTTGTACTTGTACAAACAGGCACGAAGTCACGGGCCGCTATGGCAGTCCGATGCACAGACCGGCTACCCGCATGTACTTGAGTAGTGCGCACTGCAGCCTTTCGCCAGCCTGCCAGCCATTGACCGCAAGGAGTGTACATTTGACATTGTGTAAGCATTTCAGAGCTCGATGTTCGAGTCGACCTCCTTCTTACCTGCGGCAACAATATATTCAGTTCTTGAACCCACCGTCAAGGGCCCGGAGATCTCATGAAGAGCCGGACTCCGACAAAAGGCCGGCTGGGCGAACTCGATGTCGAATAGCCAGCTTCATGACATATGAGCATTGGATTGACTCCGTACGATTGCATGTGCATGGACGGTCTGCGAACAATTCTAAAGGCGTGGCCATCACTGTGCATCTTTATTTCATGCCTCGCAATTTCCAATGTGCGACAAGTGTTGTTAGTTCATGCATGACCGAACTTCGTTAACTTCGTCAGAACAAGATTGACTATTTCACTGCATGTGGAGCCGGGGCGCGCGCGCGCAAGACAAATAAGGTGCATGCACGTCTGTAGCTAGCCTTTTATGAATGATCGCGTCATTCATGCTGGCACAATGAGAACGTGATGGCAGGCTGACCAGTACCTGTACTCGAGCTTTACATGAGCATCTCTCATCCGGATCGCAGTCCCTCTGGAAAGCGCTTTGCACGCAGGCTTACGTGCGTGGCTTAAGAGCTCTCCCGAACAACCGATATCACTACCTCTTCAATTTTCGACCCAGGATTATGCAGGCGGATGGAGCACCTCGCCATGCTGCTTGCCTGCAAGTTGGACAAATCCAAATTGACAGGCTTATCCTGCAAGTGTGTAGCTTTTAGAGTCCGCAAAGGTGTCAAGAGGCAGTTAAGTAGCTCCTCCACAAACACATGGGAAGACGGAGAACTTCAAACCCTGTACATACAGCGCCTTGATTTGCGAGCGCAGAGAGTCGGTTCTGTAGATTTGGGAACTACGTTTGCGCCATGCCTTCCAAAGCTAGAGGCACATAATTGGTTCGGCGCAATACCTGGCTGCCCCCAATGTTGTGCTGCGTCGCAACGTGAAGCAGGGCGACGAAGCAGCGATGAGGCGATGCGTCCGCTGACTCCGTAAGCCCATCTGCGATCCGAAAGCATCCATTGATGAGACAAGAAGATTCATACACTTAAGTGAAAACTTGTAGTTTCTTTTATGGATTGAAGCGCGATTCCGGAAACGTCACGACTCAGCTTCTCTAAACAGAACTCCTCATGTCGTCAAACATCTCTTCTCAAACCCTTTAAAGTCTCCGCAAAACAGGAGATCTAGGCTCGACCCACCTCGCCCGAAGCACCTCCGCGCCAGTTGTCCCATCGTCAGGCACGTGACCTCTGCTGACGTCCGCCGCCCCTCCCTGTGTGCGTCACCCAGTCCCTTGAGCAGCGCCGCCGAGACCGGCCCCAGGTCCTGTCGCTTCAGCCGCTCCTGCCAGGCCCGTCTCTCTGCTTCTACTGCCTCCGCTACCATCTGCTCCAGTCGGTACCGTTTCCGACCGGCCAGTGTCAGCTGCTTGTTTCCGACCGGGGTAGCGCCCGGGGGGATTTGGGTGTCACCCGGTGGTGCTGTGGGCGGCTCTCGTGCGGAGAACTGAGGGGCCTCGTCGCCGTATGGAACTGCGCCCGATTGTTCGGGATGGTTTGGGGAGCCGCTGACGGCGTCGAAGTGGGTGTCAAAGTCTGCGCACAGATTGAGAGAAAGATTGGAACGTTTCATTACGGTGCTTTTGGACGTTTCTGGAGTCGCTTCACGATCCGTCGCATTATGAAGAAACATATTGCGTCTATCCTACGAGTATCAGCTTTGACTCGCTAACGGAGACCAGCGCTGCTTTTGAAGAAGGCGTCATATATCCGATTGGATACCGTGGAACAGGCTTTAATGTAGGGGCCCGCTAATCTGGTCCACAGGGGAGAATTCAAGCTCCGGTCCCCTGTTCCGGTGCTTTTCTGGCGGCGGAAAGTTCAAGAATTTCTTTATTTAATTCAGTATTCAATTCATGATTGATTGGTGACTATCGGCTGGACTCCGGGGAGCTCATAGACCGACCGATCGCCCGAGTGACTTTGGTGGGGTTAGCGGGGGGGTTAGGGTGGGTATGGGTGAGCCCACGGCGGGACGGGTTAGGGTTAGAACTTAGGGTTAGTCACCTTGCCTTAGGTTTTTAGTTTGTTGCAAGCCTCCCTGTGACCTTGGTGGGGTTAACTAGGCGGTTAGGGTGGGTTCGGGTAGGGCCTTGGCGGAACGTGTTAGGGTTATCCGGCTCGGTCCAGCGCTCGGTCGGTCTGGCTGGTCTGTGCGACCTGCCGGCGTACAGGTACCGGTAGCCGACCCAAGATTGAGACCCAGGGTGAAACCTTGCCGGACCGACCGACTGCCGGACTGGGGCAGAATGGGAGGTGCGGTCCGGCGGTCGGTCGGTCCGACTGGTCCGACCAGGGTCGCACAGCCTGACATGTGGTCCGGCGGTCGGTCGGTCTGCCTGGTCCGGCAGCCAAGACCTGCTCGATGACGCGGTCCGGCGGTCGGTCGGTCCGCCCGGTCCGGCTGCCTCGGTGATGAAGTTGGCTTTCTAAGACCGGAGCGGAACGGAAAGCTTGAAATCTCCCCTGTGGACCATATTAGCGTGCCAGGACTTTAATGAGGACGGAAAGTTACCAAGCGATCAGCATCAACCTGGTGGCTCGTGCTTCCTTACCAACTTCTTGCCATGTAGCACCTGGTCCATCTAGAAACTCCTCTTCTGTCCCCTGCTGAGTCACGTAGGCGTCTCGCGGCGGAGCGTCCAAAGAGGCCTCCCCTGCGAGGAGTGCCAACTAGCAAACGTTCAGGACTCCGTTTGAACTGGAAATATCAGTGCGGAAAACGATCCGGTTTGCTTAAGTACTTCCAATCGAACAGCAAGAGCTGCGTGTACCTATGTGATCCCCCGATAAGTTTGCATGCACATGATCTAGAGCCCTTTCTAAGGAAGCTGCTTTGAAGAGAGATTGAGGATTTGGAGCTGGTTTTACCGGGTTTGAGAAGCTCTCACTCACCCTCTGCCGGATTAGCCCTTCGATCCAGCCTTTCAGGGTCCCAGGGGGCTGGCCACGACGGAGCAGGCGGCGGGGTGTCTGGAAGCTCGTCCCCGGCGTTCCCGACGGGCTCTTGAGCGCTTTCGTCAGCTTTGAAGCAGCCCGGTAGCTGGAAAACGCACCGGGGATGGATTTCTCATATCAGCGGGCACCTTTGTAGACCATATCCACCGTTCCCAAAAAAGTGACTCTGGGGACTGCGCTCCAAAAATTGAGCAAAACGATCATCAATTGCGTGAGTATCAAATCCAGGCCACAGATTCTAAGATAAGTGACTGAGCGCCCATCTGCGGAACTTATTCCGCGCTGGAAATTTTGAAACTTAGATCTCGTACCTTGAAAGGGTCCGTCAACAACAGCTTGCGGTAATGGTGGAAGTCGTCGATCGCTGCGTCACAGAATCCTCGACTTAGCCGACCCGTGTAATTGATAGCTGCCATGAAGGCGACCCAAAGATAAAAGAGGCATGCTCCAAAGAGACTCTTTTCAAAATACATTCCCACAAGTAGCGATGCCGAATGAACGGACAGAGTGCTCACGTCTTGACAGTGCCCGTTTGAACATGCCGGGTTCCAGAACCAGCTCTGGAAGCAAGGGCTTCTCGTCCCGATTGCCGCCTGCGTAATCGTCGAAGCTCACGCTCTCGGGCTCAGGAGCCAACAAAAGCTGCTCAAAGTCCTTGACCGGCCTGCAAAACAAGCATGATGAGTCTCTAGACAATCGTGCAGATTCGCTTGCTGTTGTAGGCTTCCGTAAGACGGTCTTTGTGTCGGACTAAAATCCATGAAGACATTTTTCAAAAACGATCAGGTTCTTAATTGCTTCATCAAGTCGAGGACGGATATTTTTGGAGCCCAGTCCTCAGAAACACTTACTTATAGATCTTCTGCTTCCCCAGCGGCCGTCTCTGATACTGCTTTGCTTCGTACACATCCCTCTCGCTGATGGCGATCACCAGATCTGTTCTGTTCAACTGCAACATATGCCGGAGACTCACAGTCAGTAGACTTCTTGTCTGGGACAGCGGATGGTTGGGGCTTAGCTGAGTCCATGGTTCCGCACAAGCAACAATAAGAAGCTTTCTGACGGAAGCTGCTTGTTCAATAAAATAAATGAGGCCGGTGAAAAGCGATTCGGCTAATTTTACCTTCTTCTTGGACCCGCCTCCCTTTGGATTTCTTGTCTTTGACTTTGGAGTGGGCAAGTAGACTTCTCCTTCTTCCTCGAATCTGATATCAAAAGCTCCCTGCTTTGGACTCGCTGCGTTTTTATGCTCCTGCTCGCCTTCCTCGGGCTCCGGTGGATGGTTCTCCTTCTCTTCTACGTCGAACGACTCGATGTTCTCCTCTACTTCTTCCTTCTGAATGGCTTCTTCTAGCCTCTCCAGAAGCCTAGAACTTCTCAAGGGTTTGAACGAAGGTCTGATTGGGTTTGCATTCAGACGAGTCCCTTCAAACTGCTGAGACGCCTCTGAAGGGTTTTCCGGGTTCACCTCCGGAGGGACTTCTTCCAGAGGGACCTCAGAATGTTCTTTGACGATCAGTTCTAGAGCCGCAAACGTCTTTCGCTGCTTGAATTGCGGGCGAAAGGGCTGGTCCTGATCAAAACTAGGAGGCTTTGACGGTGGGCGGTCATTGTACATTTTGCTAGGTCGTTCTGACTCTGCTTCTAGGTTGTGAGGGCTCGCTGGATCGATCATCTCCTGCTCGAACTGTTCGACTGGATCAAAGTCCTCTGTGAAAGGGACTTCTTCCAAATCCTCTTCCGGATCTAGATAGTAACTATTTCCTGACGTTTTCTCAGGCTGCTCTTCAAGAGCGGCTAGTTGGTACTGGCTGGGCGAGACGTAAGCTTCCGTCTCGTTTACGTTCGTGCCTCCGTCGTGCGAGCGCTCAAGTTGATCACCAATTGAAGCTGGCGGCTGGAAAGTGATCGACTCTTTGGGCCTGGCTTCCGTCTGTAACCTCCGGCCGCCTTGATCTTGCAGCCACTGTTCAAACGCCTCCCTCTCAAAGATGGAATGTTGCTGGGGTTTCTCCTCCACTCCGCTGTCAGCGTGGGACAGAAAGTGTTCAAAATTTTCTCCATCTACTGATACGTCTTCGTCGGATTCCCCCAGTGTAAGGTGCTTGGTAACGGGAAGGATTAGATGCTCGAAGGGACGCAGATCCACGAGCTGCTCTGCTGCTTCACGCTCGATAGCAGCAGATGGAGCTGTAAACACCCCGGACGGAAACAATCTGCAAAGAAAAGAAACTCGCCGTGTCGCTGCATAGACAAGCAGAACATAGTTCTCGGCTATCTTACAGTCGCAAACTAGATGGTTTGCAGCTGTAAGTTAGCTTCGATTCGAAACACTAGAGGGCCTCGGTTCTGGGGATTGCTCATAGCCCGCGTTTCAATCCACAACAGGACATCACGAAAAGCACAAGATAATATTACTGAATGTCATGCCTCTTACTTCTCGATGACAGATTCGAGTGTCTCTCCAGCTTCTTTCTCGAGGTCGAAGCATAGGTCGCTCTCCGGAAGGAAATTAGGGCATGACAGACCTTCCTGCGGAAGAAGAGGGGCTCATGATGTTGGAGCTTCTGCAGGCTGCTGTAAGCTTAGAAAATGTGTGCTTTCAGGGAAGCGTATTAGACTGCTAGGTGCTATTATAGATGTGTAATTGACAATTCGAAGATGAAAAAGTTGTTCAATGACTGGATTGCTTGGCAGCCTTACCAGGCTGTCAGCAACTTGTTGGAGCCCCAGATTGACCGGCATAGATGCAGCTGGCTCCACCACATCGTCGGAAGGTGGCAGCACGTTGAGTGCTCTGAGCCTCTCATATGTTTCCTCACAGACGAAGACGCGGCTGGAGTCTTCCTTCGTCTGATTCCCTTCACCTGTTGAATTACGGGCCGGGAAGAGAGAGCTTCAATTGAGAAGTGAAGAGAAAATGTTTCCAAAATGTCCCTGCTTCTCTCGTGTCAGTATTTGCATCGGCAGCCGCTGACTGATAGCCGTTAAGCATGAGCACCCAAAGTCCTACTGAATTGCAGGCTCTCAAAGTTGTGGGAAGACGCGAAGGAGAAGAGGAGAGAGCAGATCATGGTCCTGTGGGAAGTGGTTTGCCAACGATCAAATTGCCTCGTACCCGCTGCCTCTTCACGCTCTTCACCTCTTTCCTCCATCTCATCCACTTCCACTGTGCCGTTTCTTCCCTTTCTTCCATTCTTCTTTGTATTTCGACGCACGGATTTGTGATGCTTCACCGCTTCTGCAGTAGTTTTGGCCAAATTATCTGCAAGAGAAGGTCACGGAAATGTCAGCTTCTGCACTTTTTAATAATTGCAGTGATCCATTAGCATTGCCCCATTTCAGTCCGGCTTCGTGCAATATAATCTGCTCACGCTTGTATTCTGCTTACCTTTCATGCATTTGATCAGCTCAACACGAACGTGAACGTTCGTGGAGGCAATTTCCACCTCACGCCTTCCGACTTCAGTATCATTTTGGCCCTCATCAGCTCCCTGCAGAGTAATATAACTGCGTTTCGTGATGGTGACATTACAACTTATTATTCCTCAGTGATTTGGCATGGGTGGCTCTGAGGCCAGATGAAGAATTCTGTCTTGATATGTTCAGTCAAGTAGCAACTTGTACAACTTGTACAACTTGCTCGAGTTGAAGACTTTATGACTGACCGGTTGGTTGAAGGAAGAGAGCGCGATGTTGACGAACTTTGCCCCCCAGGGATCTCTCTTGTGCCGGCGTGCTTCGACGTCATCTGCGCAAGCGAGGATTGAGTAGGCGGTTCCTCCATCTTCATTTCGAACTGACTTGATTTTGTAGTTCATACGGCGACGGCCTGCAGGATTCTCGTTCCCCATGTTCAGAGGCAAAGCTTACTTGACCTAATCAGCTAGGGCCTCATTTACCTGCTCCCATGAAAGCTTCAAAGGGTTAACCAAAAGCTTCCAGATTCTTTCCTGATACTTTACGGCTGAATCTTGCAGAACCTTCGGAACTAATGCAACAGCAGTTCTAAGGAGAAGGTTCTCCCAACACTAAGACTTGAGCCGCAGTGCCATTAAAGTGGGGCTTGTCCTCTCAATCACTCCTCCACCTTGAATTGATGTCGGTATGATCAAGCTCAGAGACTTCGGTCGATGAATAGGATCCCTGCCAGTGCCGGGGACCACAATCTGTTCTGTTGCGCTAAGCCTGATGCGAAGTCTCTGTCTTTGAGTCTCAGACTCAGGCTGGGTCGAGCCCAGCTAGAGCAGAACATGTAGACTCTTGATCGGACGGTCCAGATTGAATGGTTGACTTGGACTTCTGAAACCACACTAGATGAGATCCTTTCGAGCAGCTCTTACATATAAGTATGACCAATAGTTACTTAAATTGCAAGGGTTCACAAATCAACTGCAAAGTAGAACTTCAGCAAGCGCAGCGCATCATAAAACCGTAAGCGAAAATGCTTAGCGGAGCGGACAAGAAAGCAAGGGATGAAACTTGGTGTAGATGCTCCTGAAAAACAAGCGCTTCGCAAGGTCAAGGGCTTCTAAAGGGCAAACTCTGCTCTTTTCGGTTTACTGACACGAGTAAGTTGCAGTCCTCTTTGCTGCTTCTAGATCGTCTCTTATTTCTAATGAATCTGTTCTAAGCAATCCAACGTTTGAACAAAGGTATAATGGCAGATTAAGTAGGCTCTGAAGACGACGTCAGCTGCCGCAATCAGGTGTACGACCGTCGATCTTTAGCTGCAAGTGGTAGGACAGTCTGAGTTGGATCAAATTTGCAACTGACCATTTTCTAAAAGATGGCGACTGAAGCAGCCGGTAAACGAACGAGGAAGGACGCAAAAGAGCCAGAAAGGGTACCAGAAAAGAAGTCAAAGATCGAAGATGACAGTCAGGACGACTTTGGATTGTCAAGGTGCTCATTCACCCGCTAGCTTCCAATGCTATGTACGCAATGCTTCTTAAACAATCTGCTTAATCGCTCTATGGTTCTTCTGCATCTGAACTGAATCAATTGCGTTTAGATAGATAGAAATTGCAGAGTTTGGCTACGATGACATTGATTCAAAGGGTACTCCATCAAATGCAACGATTCTAAGTTGACGCTGATACTCTGTTTTGTAGCAATTCATCATGAGAAGGATCGACATGCAGATGCTTGAAATAATTCACCTTTCAATGGTGAACCATCAGAAATCAAAGTCTTGAGTTAGGGTGAATGCTCTAGCTCAATCTGCAGGGATATTAAGGGCATCCTGAAGGCGATAGAGGTAAGTAACATTCAACCCAACAAATTGTTGGAGCTCGAGGGAGCATTTACAACAGAAAGTACCAATGAAAGAATCAAATCTCGCTTTGACTTGCTCGCATCTTGTCATTTGAATTGACACGTCGAGCTCGATCAGTCGAAGTCGGATCGCTTCCATTTTGTTATGTAGGCGCTACCCTTGCAACCTCGAGAGCACCCTGATAACAATGTTTATATTATCGTATCTCTAGAAACCTGGAATTGCTTTTCCATGCCCTGCTGACAATATCTCAGATATCATGAATCCATCTCCTCCGTTGTGCTCAGTCTGTCAAGGAAAAGTCGCAGGCCAGCTCAAAAAAGCTGAGTTCGGAGCGCCTAGCCAGGTGAGCTCAAAGAAACTCCTGTTGCATGAAGCAGCCTCTGTTCAAATGATTCATGATCTGGAACAGTGAGAGTGAATTCCCTTGAGAATCCGTGGACTGTGCGTGCGGATAATAGTGACTATTTTCTTGTGCAGCTTGACCAAAGAGGTGAAGACCGCCATAGACGCGGCAATAGTGAAGGCTGGAAACGAGAACTCAAACCTGAGAAAGTGCGTCGAGACTACTCGTCAGGTGAGCGGCAGAACGCCTGACTTGTTAAGGAATGTGTATTGCGGAGATCCAAGAACCGGATAACCAAGAACCGGATTGAGAGGATCCTAATATGAACAAAAAGCTGTCTCCTGCGAGCCTTTGGAATGGTGTTTTCTCATTCACCTGCTCTTTCTGGAATTCCATGGGATCGGGCTCTTAAGGAGCGATTTTGTGTTTCTTCTAGACTCGATGTTGTCCAGAAGCGCAGATTCTATTGCTTACCTGCATCTTTTCTTCTGTAGTACGAGGCGAGACTGAAACACGTCACAGAGTCGTTTGAGAAAGAAGCAAAGAAATTCCAAGCTTCTTGCAACAAATTTCACACGGTAAGTCCTTCAACACCATAGCCAGTGTCTCTTTGCCCACAAAAGCCTCAGCTTTCGTGTAAATGCTTTTCTTGATGTGTAGTAATTGCAGCAGGATTCCTTGCACATGGAAGGCAATCATGCTGAAAAAGGTGGGGGAGCTTGTGTTTTTGAAAACATTGACCAGCATAAGTAACATCATGCAAGACCTGATCTGCAGGAGCGCGAGAAAATAGTCGCGGAGTACGAGAGCTTCAAGGAGAAGCTCGACAGGAAGATTGAACAACAGAGTAAGAAAGACGCTACTGCTGCTCAGAGATTGAATTCATACTCTTTGAAAGCAAAACAATTGCGAAGGCCAAGAAGGTCTCTCAATCAAGGTCACTTGTGATCATGCTCATGCTTCTAATGGTACTCTCTGAATCCGTGCCACTTTTCCGGATTCGATCGGCTGCTTTGGAAGTATCCTGTCAAACAAACAAGTATTACTGCTCCCATTTGACCCGCTGAATCATCCGCCGCAGGGAGAAAAGACAAGACCGAGTACGCAAACCTTCAGAAACTGTGTACTGAGAAGCTTCGGGAGGCCGAAGAGATTCTCTCAAAGCAGAAGCGGGTGAGATTCACAAAGACTAACAAGCGTTTTGAGATCATTCCCACCAACTTCGCTTCGAAACGACCCGTCAGGTTGAACTCTTTGTGCTTCCAATCGCGTTATTACGATCAGGTTCTTGCGTCGAAGCTTAGTCATCCCCAGGACATGGCGGAGTGGCTGTGGTTCAAACCGAGTTCTCATGCGTACTTTTGAAAAGTCGTTTCAAGAAAAGGTACTGCACAATTTCGATTTTCACGTACGAAGTCGACCACGTCGAAAGGGGGCCTTGTGTGCCTGCGAACGGCAAGGGGAACGACAACAAGCTGACGCCCTCAGCTGATCCTGCAGGAAGCCAAGTCCATCAGTGTCCTGCGAAAGTCACTGGGCACGATACTGGAGGATAGCGCTGAGGGGTTTGAAGACATTGACTTTGAGGAGTAAAGTGATTTGAGGAGACTTGGCCCCCACACACTGAGCCTGAACTCCCAGGTAATGAGTGTTGATGGTTCGCCACATTTTGCAGTCTAAATCCGCATGTGCACCAGCTTATCATTGCAGCTGACAGTAGGATTCGTAGTAGGCCTGTCTATCCGGTCTGACAAATAAGAGAAACTCTGCCTGTCTATCCGGTCTGACAAATAAGAGAAACTCTGCATCTGTGATTGGACAAAGCAGGATCGGGCAGACGCTATCTTTAAACACGTAGTTCTCTCTTTCAATTCCTTTGTACTCGATTGGGCTTCAAGCAGCTCAGTGAGGCTGGTCACAAATTGTCCTGATGAGCTTGATTTCTTAAACGCGTTCTTGCATTAAGCAATCGACGTCTCATGTAGTCTGCACTGAGTCTTGATCCTAACCTCGAGGAAGGTGAAATAAGATGCCACGGTACACTTGGACGATCGAATTTCGTCCAAGTTCGAAGGATGCAGGCCGCACATTGTATACAGTCGAAATGCAGATATTGTGTAGCCGCGCAGTCAAGCTGACGCGCGCTAGCAAAGCACTCTGTAGAAACCCCACGGACGCGGCCAACAGGCGGCTGACCGAGTTCAGATTCTGGACAATAGGGTTGCTTCGATATGAAGGGCCGGGCGGCCATCGCACGGCCTTCACATGGGCCAGATGTGTATACAATCATTGTGGCAGCCGCTCTACTTTTAAGGTACTCACCGTCGCGCTGCTTAGATTGAAAAGTCGAATAAGTGGTTTCTCTTGGGCCGGGCCCTTGCCGATAAACAGCGCACATGGCACTTCGAATAGCCATGCAGTGCCATCTCCATTTTGATGAATGTGTGAGCCATTGCTCTGTTTCGCGAATGGTCGTAGAGCTGCGCGCACGCATGTGACCATATGTGTACATGTTTGAAGTTTTCATTCGAGTTAAGTGTGTCGCAAAAGAGGATACTGTGGCCGGGTGTGATAGGACTACACTTGTGCGTGGATGCATGCTGCCATGGGCGTATTTTATGCGAGTTGCCAAAAAACCCAAACGATAGTGCCAGCAAAAAGGCGTTGGCATGAAGAGATCAGATTGAAAGTAGCTATGTGGAACAACAGTTGGACATTGCACATGCACGGCAGATTTGCGAATCAAAAGCTCGCTTGATCACAACCAGTCGCTAGAAGACCAACGTCTCGTCTACGCTTCCATTTTTTTGGACATTATCTTCGTCTTTCCGAGATCCTCTTCTCTACTTGGACCAGTAGGTACGCCCATTCCCCTCCCAGGAGCGTAACCCTTCGACGCTGCAAAAGCCAGTGCCGCTGCTACTTGGCTCCCTGCAACTTGTCGCCTTTGGGCCTCCACCTGAAGAAAACGGTAAGAGATGTGAGACCAAGGACCTGGGCCAAACCCTTGGACTGGAAGGATGACGACCAGTTGTTGTCAAGAATTACGAGGCTTCAAAACAGCCGGATATCCCGTCAGCAGAGCAGAGACACCAGATAGACATATCCCATCAGCTTTTTCTGCGCGCAAGCATCATCTGGTGAAGCACGGCTTGCCCGCCGAGACGCCTGCCTGAGCAAGTGGCGCTGGCCAAGACACCAAATGCAACTCCACACCCGACGAGTAGACAATGTTTTTGGGGCTTCGAACCTGTTTTCTGCCACCGTCCTCGTATTGCTGGTGGGCAATGAAAAGCCGGTTATGCCGAGACCCTCACCTGCTGTTCCCTGACCCAGTCCTCGTACCGGTGGTTTACTAGCTGCGCCATCTCATCCAGTCCGGACACCTGGTACGAGGAAGAAGCGTCGCCGGCTCGTCGCTGAGTGGGTGTTCGCTGCAAAAAGCACGACGAAAGTGAGCATCTAGCAACGAATCAAGCGCACTGAACACCTCATGCTTTCACGGTGCGGGCGGAAAGACTCTTCACACAAACCGGTGCTGAAATATCCATACACCACGTGCGATGGTCTTTCCCTTTTGTTGCTGAGCTGTTGAAGAGCTCATCCAAATGCAAGCAAGCTTTGGTTGGAAAGTCTAACTGACCTAGGCAGTGCTTCAAGTCAGCAAACATGCATAAAAAGGAATTCCAGGCTGAAGCTCGAAACCTTAAATCCAATGGCGACAGATCGAACTAGGAGGATAGTAAGAAGGCAGCAACTGGGAACACGCTCCGCAGCTATCTGCAGAACAAACGTGCTCTTGCGACTTTCGCTGTGCAGACTTTACCTTTTCATCCAGGTTCAGCTCCAGTCTGTCCGGCTTGTGCAGCAGCGTCTGGAACGTCGGCTGCAGCTCGTAGCACTGCTCAAACAGGGCGCGCCGCCCAAACACGTACAGCCCCAGCCGCGCCCGGGACATGGCCACCACCTATCAAGCGAGGACACGTGTCAGTCCTGATGTCTAGCATGTCTAGCGGACTCCATCCAAAGGCGCTGACAAAAAGACATAGAACACAGAATCGGACCGTTCCTCCAAATACTCCTCTCAGGCAGCCTCTTTCTGATCACGTCGTCGAAATTGCGAATAAATGCGTTTTGCCTTACTGAAAACCTGAACCCGCTTCGCAAGCTACCATTCGGCTCAAGGGGTTCTTTCGACCAGCAAACGAGGGATGACTCAAGGGAGCGAGCAAAGGGTTTCGACAACCTGATTGTAACCTGATTCTCAGCCGCTGGTCCTACAGGCCAGCGAACAGTCTCCATCTGCAGTCCACCAGCAGAAAAGCACCCACTCCTTTAGAAACACTCCTGTGGAGCACCAACATTTCACAACCCTAAACAACAAATTTGAGGAACCTAAACCTCTCCATCCTCACCAGCCTCCGGACGTCCCGCAGGTGCCCCACGACGCGCGTGCGCACGAGGCTGAGCAGGATGTAGTCGTTCTGCTGGCCCTGGAAGCGGTCGACCGTCGTCACCTTGCTCGGCCGCCCGAACAGCGGGTGGTTCGCGCACCGCCGCTCGATGACGTCACGGATGAGGTGCTTCTGGCCGTTGTACGTGCTGAGGATGGAGATCTTGTGCGCGGGGAAGCCCAGCATGCGCATGTACTGGTAGACGCTGACCACGTATTCGGCCTCGCCCAGGTTCTGGAAGAAGTGCGGGTTGGGCTCGAACTCGCCGCGGCCCTGGTGGTCGGGGACGTCAATGAACTGGAACTCGTGGGTGAAGCCGGCGTTTGCCACCTGGGGGAAAAATAAGATGGTGTCAAAGCGGGATCAAGGAGCTGTTAGATCTGGAATAAGGTGTAGATAGACACCAGATTTCGACTCAAACTCGCCCGGGCCTTGGTGGTAGGGCACGTCGACCAACTGGAACACGTGGGTGAAGCCCGCGTTTACAACCTGGGGAAGAGGAGCGAGATAATGTCGAAAACGGAGTTGACGGATTTGTGCTCAGAGTAGGAACGATGCTTTCGCACCGGAAACGTTCCACTACAGTGCATTCAGACCAGATGTGGGAGTTCAGAGAACGGAGAGGATGAACTGATAAGCTGGGTGTGGCAAAAACCTCTTTGGGCAGGTTGACGAAGGCGATAAGGAGTCAAAGTAGAGAAACGACATGCTCAAAGAGAAACAGCATTTTGCTGCTTCGACGGGATCCCAACTCCCAGCAGATCTTCCCAATACCTGCTCTCGCAATCGACCTGCACACACGAAGGAGTTGGTGAACGACCAACCCCCAAACCACTGCCTGAAGAAGCCTACAACAAACAATAACCACGAAACACACTCACAAACGAGGGGGAAAAAACAAAAACTTTACCTGGAACTCTGGTCGCTGCTGCACGGCGGGCAGATCCCCCAGCTGGCGGTACCGCCAGTTGTACAATCGCGCGATGGTTGGGCGCGCGCGGCCCTGCGCGTTGAGCTCCACGTACGGCGTGCCCAGGCGCACGAAGCGGGTGAACAGGCTCTGGTCCATGTGGCTGTACTTCTGGAACGCCATGTTCTTCACCACGGGCGGCAGCTGTTCAGAAAAAGAGAGACGAGGTTTTAGCGGTTGTTCTTTCTAGGATGTGAAACCGTTCTTGCATTCTCCGTGGCTGTACTTCTCGAAAGCCTTATTCTTCACCACGGGCGGGAGTTGTTGGAGAGGGAGAGGCGGAACTTAGCGGTTGCCTTTTTGTCTACTTGGATGTGGTTTGGAGCGCGTTTTTGCGAAGTGCGTGCGGTGATGCCTGGAGCTCAGTCTATGCTGACGACGTGCCTGAGCAAGACAATAGAGTACAGTCACAAAGCCATATTCGGGTACTTAATCCTGTGCCGAACGTGACTCACAACTTCGCTGAAACAAGCATGTTGTAAACGAATGCCCCTTCAAAAATCTTCGTCATCCTCAGTGACCTTCTTGGAAACGATTTTGAACATCAAAAAGCACATCACCGCCGATTGGTCGCTAAAACCTGCGCTGCAGATACATCCCAACAATCACAACGGAACGAATCGACCCTTCAAACGCTCAAATAGCAAACCTTCGTTCGCTCACCTGGTGATGATCTCCAATCAGGATGACCCGCTTCAACCGCGCGATGTTGTCGTCCTGGCGCTGCAACAGCATGGGAATGAACGTCTCGATCTCCAGGATCTGCGCGCTCTCCTCCATAACTAGGTTGTCGTACTTGAGCCCCAGGTCTAGGAAGTCGTGGCGCTTGAGCGCGGCGTGCGTGCACGTCATGGCGATGATCTTGGCCTGCTTCGTCATCAGGTAGTTGGAGCGGTCCGCCGTCGTCTTGAGCAGCTCGAAGGCGCGGCACTCCTGAGGGGAGGCAAAAGGCGTTCGGTCAGAATCGGTTTCGCGAAACTAACAATGATTTGGGGTCTGAAAAATTGGGGCTCTGGGGGCAGGGATAAGACCCCGGGTCAGACCTTTGCCCTGAGGCTTGCAAACATTCGGACGTTTGAGACTTCTAAGACTTGGCACAAACTTTGACGAGCACGGGCAGCCCGACTAAACCCGCAGTCTGAAATCCTTACATCGGCCGTAAGCTACCAATCGCACCAAAGAAGCTTGCTTCTTTTGAAAAACTAATACTTTTTACTGCCGGAGATCCATTCTCGAGGTCAGTCACCGCACGCACGGACAACTCCCATCACTCTGTGCATAAAATCCACCCAAACATTGGTCAAGAAAACAGCCGATGAGCAAGATTTTGACGTGCAAACCCCTGAGCGTCAACGCCCCTCACCTCTAGTTCCTGGAACATCGTCCGCAAGTGCCGCCAGCACCCCGTCGCCGCACGCATGTCCCGCGCATACGACACCCCCGAGAACAGACTCCGGCCGACGTCGCTGAAATACTCCTTGAACGGGAACTTCTCCTTGACGATCGACGGCTCCTGGCTGGCTTCGCACGCAGCCGAGAACTCTTCCCAGCGCGCCAGCACGTGGAGCAGCCAAAAGTGCGCGGCGCTCTCGCACGTGTATGCCACGTCAGCGGGGACGTCCAACGTGCGCGCCAGGCGCTCGACCTCGGCGAGGAGCTCGATGCGGCGGGCGAGCATGGCATTCACGCGGCCCTGGACGGGAGCAGCAGAGAGGGTCAGTTTCTGCTGCAATATTTGTTGTTAACGTTCTCGTTTCAATCGTTACTTGAAAGCAGCCCCTCTAAAAGAAGCCCCCCCATGACTACCGCACCCCAATCTAACGTCCTTTTTGAACAGCAAGCCAACTTGCAAATGCTCTTCCTACAACTTTTGCAAACTTCACAAAAGGAAGCTGGCACGTCTGCTCACCAACGTCTGTCCCATAGGTTAGCGGAATCCCTATCCGCTTTGACCAAAGTGTACTCCTTTCAATTGCCCTCAGTTTCGGTAAAAGCAGTCGGTCCCTCACAGAAAGGCTTGAGTCTTATCTAAAAAGAACCTGGCTAAGTAGTACATAAGGAACGGTAAAACGTCAGAATCCTCACCTGTCTGCTAAAGTTCTGCTCGCTCTCCAGTTCTTTTTCGCCCATACCCAGCCGCAGCAAATAGCGCGCCGGCACGTCCCGCTGCATGATCTTCTCGAACAAGTCGTTTAGCGCCTGGTTGGAGTGCGTGATGAGCAGCGTCCGCTGACCCGGGCAGTTGTGGTATAGCACGTTCAGGATCTGGACGGCCGTGTCGGTCTTGCCGGTCCCCGGGGGCCCAACAACCATTGTCAGCCCGGGGTTAACGCCCGACTTGATCGCCTCCACCTGACAAGACCCCAGATCGATGGGTTAAGGGTCCGTTCTTCAACGAAATGTTGATGACATTTACCTTCATACAGTTGCTGACCATCTTATGCTTGCAGCTGGTGATCGAAGCTGTAATTTGCACGTAGAAGATCGGGGTCTTAGTTCATGTTGCAGGAGGGCTTTCAGACTGCCTACATTTCCGTCAGACTCGATCTGCATCCCGCAAATCTGACCGCAGGAACTAAAGCGTGGATGCCGTCCTCCGAACGTACAGAAAGAAAGCCCATGCTTAGTCCTGTACTTGCACAGGAGTGTCACCCTCTGTTCAATCTGTCCAAAGAACGCCAATAACCAATGCCAGCGCGAATCCCATTGTCCCCTCACCTGCACGGGCGTGAACCGCACGCTGTTCTGCCTTGGCTGGTTCTGCGGGTATGGGCCGGGGTCCGGCGGCACATAACTTTGCGCCAAGATCGGCTCCGCCTCTAGTTGCTTCGCCCCATCTACTTCCATCGCCGAGCCCCCGTTCGCGACTTCCCCGTCTACCCCTTTCCGTTTTGCGGGCGGTTTGATAACCGGCGTGCTGCTCTCCTCCTTCCGAGGAGGGAACGTGACCCGGAACGGCGGCTTCGGTTCCGTGTCCGGTTCGTTATCCTGACCCACGAACCGGACGTCCGAACCCGGGAACGACTCCCGCAAGTGGTCCGCACTAAGAAACGTGTCCTTGAAGTCGATCGTCCGGAGCTGCTCCTTCTCCGGCAGGTTTTGGTACTGCGCGGCCGCGGGGTCTCCGTACCCGAGGAAAATTTCCCTGAGCCATTCCGGCACGATGTTATTCTCGTTCATCAGATCGCGGATGCACTCCAGGATCGCCTTGAAATTGTTCTCCTTCGGCTTCCGCCGGACGAGCAGGTTGAACCCCGCGTAGACGTCCGGCGCCCCCCGCTCCGCGGTCGCCGTCACGTCCAACTGGTACTGCGCCTGATCGAGCGCTAATACAATTGTTCGCTCGTTCCCTTCCGGGGGCTTCACGTCCTCCCGTTTCGTCCGCCCGCTGAAATCGTTCATCAGCGTCCCGACTTCGTCTCTCATCTCCACCACCTCTGCCCCCCGCACAAACTTCAACCCGAACCGCTCCGGCACGCTCTTCCTTTCCCCCTCCTGTTTTGCCCCGTTCTCCTCCCCCTCGTTCGCGACGGCCGGCTGTATGCTCAGCAGAAACAGCACGTCGTGCTCCTTGATGTCGTTCCACTCCGCCCGCACCACGTCCTTTAACCCCGCCACGGTTATCTTAACCTCCGCCAAAACCCGCGCGGGCTTCACCTCCCCGATGTTTGGCGCCCGCACCTCGGTCACCCTAAACCCTTTCGTGGGCATCGCCATGCGCGCCCACCCGCCAAACACTACTTCCTCGTCCCGGTTCCGTCCCGCCTTCACCCGCTGCAAAACGTCGCCCAAATCCTCCCGGATCTCGTACGTCGACTCTAACCGAAACAGGTTAAAGTTCCGCAGGAGGTAGTCGTGGAAGGTTAGGAACTGCAGGTTGAGTTTTGGGAGCGCGAGGCAGCCCTCCCCGGTGTAGTTAATGCTCGGAACCAGGTTTTCGTCCCAGAGAACGTCTTCGTTGGGGTAGAGCGGCAGTTCGTTGACGAACTCGCGCTGCGACGGGCGCCGCTCGAAGTTTTGCAGGACGACCTCGAGCAGGAAGCCGGGGCGGTGGATCCAAGAGTCGTCGGGCGACACGAGCTTCAACTGCAGAGAGTTCAAGAAAGTAAATTCGTGAGTCAGATCTTATCTCTTTAATCCTCGACTGCCGCGACCTGAACTTGCAGCTCTGTTCAGACACTGGAAACCAATGAAGCTGCAATTCTGATCGAAGTCGTGATCGATGGCGTCGTTGTCGAATTGTGTCGCCGTTCGCGTGATAGTACAACGTCAAAGGCCAGGCTTGAGCGATCAAGCTCTGAGATCACGAGTGGCAAATCCCTTCGACACTCAGGTTCAAAGAAAAGCTGACCGCGTCTAATCTGAACACAAATCCAGCCACTCAAACAGGATGCCAGCAGCTTCATGACTGACAGCGCGGCCGCCACCGCGTGTGCTTACATGCTCCGTGACCAGCGTCCGCAGCTTCTCGTCCGACAGCACCGCCAGGAATTTCGCGAGCTGGTCCCGCCGTTCGATGGCCCCCACGTGGCTGAGCGCCAGCGGGCGCAGTTGCGGCCACTGCTGGAAGCACAGCAGCTGCAGGTCGTACAGCCGCCGGCAGTGCGCCTCCTGGATTTCGTCCTCCTCTAGTTGGTGACCCGTGTGGTTGTTGATCTCAAACGTCTGCGAGATGAACACGGGGTCAGCGTTTGTCCACGTTTGAAGCGAGGGCAATTCTCTACGCGGGTTCAAGCGCAGCTGGTGCTGCTTACCGAGGAAAAAGGTGCGGAAGCACCTGCATCCGATGTCACGAAATGAGTGCTTATACTAGGAAGCCTGTCGGGCAATGTATGTAGGACCGAACAAATATTCGACTAAGAATCAGAGCGTGTATGTCCAATCTCGCTCTTCAAAACAAAGTAGGGACAGACAAAGGGAAATTGCAAGGACTACGCAGCAATCCTGATGTAAGAAAGCGACAATAATCAAAATGTTGATGGACTGGTATGTGAGCTCAGCCGTATGACCGTGCCGGGTGAGCACAGCTCACCATGTAGAACTTGAGAAGATCCACGAGCTGCGTGAAGAGCCGGCCGCGGGGATGCGAGAAGAGCGTGCTCATTCGGCACTTGACCACGATCTGGAAGTCCTCCACGACGGCATGCAAGAACCTGACGAGGGAGAGACAAATTGATGATCGTCGAAGCAGCACAGTGGAAGCCAGAGAGTGGAGCGGTTCAAAAGACCTGTGGATTTGCGATGGCCATGCGAACACGTTTCCGAAGTTTTGTGTCTTCATACAAAATATGATCCTCAAAACTGTCTGCACGCCACAGGTCGGGCGGATTAGGAGATTGCGAGGAGCCAATCGTTGCAGCAATCGCCTCTCATATCAGAAGTAATGTGGGAACCATTTCAAAGGGCCCTCACCTTCTCGTCGGCAGCTGGCTCAGCAGATCAATCAGGAACTCGACAAAGCGCTCGCAGTACAGCAGCTTCGAGGTGTCGACCTGGCCTGCTATTGGGGCCTCCTCTCCCTCTGCACCATCAACAATCGCAGCGCCGGCCTCCGTCATTGGCTCATCCCCATCGGTTTTCGCCTCAGCAGTGCTGATTACTGTCTCCAAAGTCTGCAGAAGCAAGGCAATCGGTACGTTCAGAAAGCAAATCTGATTGTAGCTGCGGAGTCTCCTTAAAACTTTCTCCCTATGTATCGTTAGTGCTCTAAGGTAAGCTGCCCAATTGCGGGATCTTGTGAACATGAGAGAGTAGATTGCCGAACCCCGCCCGGCCCGCAGCCCAACCACTAGCAAAAAAGCTTCACCATTTCTTCGTTGTTCTAGATCGGAACATAGAGATCGGACGCGAGTATCTACCAGACAGCCTAACATCCCATATTACAATCCACCTTTGATCAAAGACAACTCCCATCACCAATTAAGAAAACCTTCAGAAAGATGGCCAGAGGTACCCTCTTGCTACTTTCGCAAGGCAAACAAGTCGGCCCGAGAGCCCCTCAACTGGCTTACCTGCAGAAACTCGTGAAGCATCCCAGGCATGAATTGCACCTCCGGCTTGCTCAGTGGGTCCCCGCCCTTCTTGGCCTCCTTGGCCTCTCGCCGCTGCAGTCTGTCCCACAGCTCCCCCATCTTCTCGTAGCTTTTAAATTGGGCCTGAATACGACAAATGAACATGGTGAAAAGTGGAGATGATGTGCATCAGAAGGTCCTCTCGCGCTAAGAAGGCCTTGCTCTCATATGCAGTATATGAGGAGAAATATGACAAGGATGTTCTATGCCTGGCCCCTCTATGATTTCATGCAAGTACAAGCATTGTGGCACTGCCAGATACGAGACCGCTTTTGATTGCATAAACGCCCTCAAGGCCAGTATAAATCACCACTTCATCGTCAAGACTTCAAGACCATTCACCTGCCGTCGACCTGGAGAAAGGGCATGCCACAGCGGGAGAGAGACCAGCTTCAAGACTGGCCGCTGCACCATCTCGTCCTCCAGGCTCTGGAAGCAGTTGATCAGGAACAGCAGGTAATTGGTGCGCTCCTGGATCGTCATCTGCCGCTCGCCCTGAATCACAAAATGTGTCCAACTTGATACGCCCGACTCGGCCAGTTGTTCATCTGCAGTGATTCTCCGAGCGACCGCCACCCAGATAGTACCGCTTTCGGAAGCCACATAAGCATGATACAAGGGAGCGGTGGAAGGGACGGCGAGGACCATTAGCTTTGATTCCAGAACGCATCAGACAATCACTGCGTCAGTGATGGACAGAAGTACCAAGACAAAAAATTTGCGGCACTTGAAGACTGCTTTTGGAACTCGGACAGAAAATTGCTCGCCTGTTTACTGGCCCATATGCAACTCACAGATGAAATGCTTAGTTTAGGAATCGTCACTGCATACCTCTTTGAGTGCCAACACTTGCCGAAAGAAGAGCGGAAACACGTCTTCTCGCTGGTGGAAGGAGCGCCATGCAGGGACATTCTCTCGGAACTGCACAAGCAAGACGCAAGGGCATGAGATCATTCCGCTTGAACTGATTTTGCAGAAATGTTTGCAATGGCGCGCTGCTGCAACATGAACGCAACTCATCCAGATGCTTCCATATGAGGCACAAAGCTTTGGACTGATGGGAAAGAAACTATTTTACGCTGCCTGCAACCACTCTGTTCAACAATTGGGTTGTCCTGCATTCGTAGATGGATGCGGTGGTAAAAAAGGCCAATTTTTGGGAGACGCTCCGAGCAGATATTGGTAATGGTAACATCTTCTGCGCCACCAAAAGCAATTGCACTTCTTTTTATGAGAATTTTATAGTGATCTTGGAAAAAGTTTGCACCGCCGCACCTTCTCATTCACCATCACAATGACGGACATGACGTGCTCAAAGGAGGCAGCCTCTGGATCAAAATTTGGCCACAGGTAGTTTTCCAAGTACTGGCTGATCTCCAGGAGCATCACCCTCTGCAGGGGCACAGTCCTCCTCGTCTTGCTCACAAGCTCGTCATCATATATCTGCTTAACCAGCCCTGGGTTAAATGCTGGCCTGTCAGCCCTTGACACAACCTGCGTCGACCAATTCACGGCCGCTGTCTGCGTCAGCCTATCCTTTTGAATCTGATCCAGCGTAATCGACCGAGCCCCTGCAGGAAGTCCGCTCATCAGTTTCTTCTGCTTCTTGTCCATCTTCGTGCCCATAGCCGCTGCCCCGTTCGCGGTTGCCGCAGCGGAGGCGTCGACTGACTTCTCCATTCTTTCCGAAGCTTCCGGCCTAACAGCACCGCATCATCTACCCAACGTGCTTCCTAGGTCTCTCCCTTGCTTCATTAAAAGGGATCAAAGCGCCTCTCGTTCCCCTCTCTTTCTACTTCAAGTCCTCCCACAGAGCTCTGAGTCTCAACTGAGAGCTCCACCTTTGTAACCCGATGTATGATTAACCATTTGGTAAACTCTGCCGTTCTCGTCGCCGTCGGTCCTCTGGCGTCAAGGACTTGGGAAAAGAAGAACACGGCGACATAATGCGAGTTCGGTCTCGTAGCCCTTAGACGTTAACCATGTTTTGAAAACGCCTCAAATCCACTCGAAGGGTAGAGCCTCTTCAGCGCTCTCTTGCGTCCCTTTCAAGGCTTCATGTGCTTGAGCCAACTTTATCGCTGCCGTCAGATTCCACTAGGTAGATCCCAAGGCCATGGCAGCATTTGTGCCCAGGGCGCTGACAAAGCCGCAGAAGGTCCCTCTCCCAGGCAAGCTGGTGCGCAAAGCGGGCGGCTTGGTTGATAAACGCAGCTTTTCGAAGGATGTCAATGCCACCGGAAAAGCCCATACAGTAGGACAAGTTGACGTCCTTAGTGAGGAGGGCAGGGGTGGTGTAGCAGAACGAGCTCCTTCACACTGGCAGGCTAGCTCATCAGGGAGGGGGACGTTAGACAAGAAGAGGATGGGCTTGGCGGAAAACCAAGGGCTTGAGGATGAGGATGATGGGCCGGAGGTGCTCCAGATAGAGAAAAACAAACAGCAGGCGAAAAGGAGGAGGGTTGAGCCCCAGTGTGATGAGAGCAATGCTTTAGAAAGTGCAGAAGTTCGAGCGTCCAAGAAAAGTAGAGATGTCCTGAACGGTGCAAGCTCTAAGCAGGTGTCTTCCGACGTGGCGGAGGTTGTCAGTGAAATGGGGATGGGCCAATCGGCTACAGGGAATGGTGTTCCATTTGAGGCTTCTGAGCAGATCAGAAAGGAGACGGTGGGGGCGCCAGCAGATGATTCTGTGACTGGGCCTGATGAGACTCCTGCATCTAGAGAAAATGTTGACAGTGATCTGCATAACGTCCAAACTGGAGCGGTGATGATAGAGAATGATTGCGGAGGTGGTCGCACAAACGGTGTCGCAGGCAAGGGGGCAGGGAAACAACGGGACAACTACGCAAAGAAGGTCTTCCCATATGGCAATTACAACCGGTACTATGGCTATCGCGTGAGTTGCCCTGCTAAACCCCCCATATTTTTGAATGCGGTGCAATCTTCAAGATTTTCCATTCATATTAATCAAAAGGCCAAACGGTTGATGTCTGTCACGGCTTGTGATCATGGCACAGTTTTTCCTTGCCCAAGCAAGATTTGCAGCACCTTTTGAGTGACCTCTTTTCAAACCTTCCGTTGAGCTTTTGCAGGAGTCAAACACTCAAGTTTAGCGTTTCGTCGACATGATGGAAGGAGAAAGTAGCTAGCAAGGAACTTTGACGCAGTGTTTCAATGCAAATATGGAGGCATCTGAAGTGTTGTTGGAAAATGTCTTTCTTGCAGTTTGCCAAGACACTATCAGAGGACCCCCGGTTGAGCTTGTTCCAAAAGGAATGGTTTCAGGGGAAGGCGTGCCTGGACGTGGGTTGCAACGAAGGCTACGTCACCATCGCTGTAGGTACTAATACCCTCTCGCTCTTCTCTCAGTCCCCTGTTAGCAAAGTCATCTTCGCACACTTTGCTCTCCAGTGCACTGCATTGTCAAGGATTACGGCTGCAGGAAATCCTGAATGATCGTTCAAGTGCCTCCCTTTGAACTTTTTCTTGGTAGCAGCTGCGTCGGCAGTCCATGCAAGTCTTTGAAATTTGATCCTCTCCCGGAGCTTTCCTTTCTCAGAGTACATCCTGCATCGTTTTGATATTGTCTCATGTGTGGCTCGTTGTGTGTCTGTGCTGCAGCTCAGAAGTTTGAGTGTGGGAGCATGGTGGGCGTTGACATAGATGGATGTGAGCATCCTTACCATCTCCTCGAGTTCTTCCTCTTGATGTCGCTGTGCTCTCACCCGAGTTGCATCCATAGGGATTCGCCTTTCCTTGTTCCATCATCAAGCCACACTTGCAGATCAATATCGTCTGTGCACATTCAGCATCTTCAAATGCTGGCTCTGTTCGGCCAATCCTTCCGTGTTTAAGCTTCAGCTGACATGTGCTCTATGTAGCTGAATGATAATCTCTACTTTGACAAACTACTTTTTACAAGCAACTCACGAATGATCGCACATCCTTTTCTCCTATCAGCCCTAGTTGCCAAGGCCAAAAGTCACCTCAAGCGAGAAGCCGCCATCCTGCGCCAAGCCAACAAGCCGCAGCGGGCGCGGCTCGAACTCGCTGGTCAAGCTGACCACCCTGGGGTTAGGCAAACCCTGCTATGGGGAACACAGAGCAGCCGCTCACCAGAAGGGCCGCTGAGACAAGAAAAGCGGAGGCGGCTAGCTCAGGGGTACGATTCGGGTCACCCCCCTGAATCTGATATTGGCGAAACTGGTCGAAGGGTCGTTTCGTCCACCTCCGAGCAAGTTTCGACAGTCGGGGGTTTCGAAGTCGTCGGAGAAGGGGGTGGTGACGGCAGTGGCAGAGGTGCGGACGAGGCCGCTGACGTCAGCAGTCGAGGTGCGAACGGAAGTGCTGACGTCAGCGGAGAAGAGTCGGGCAGAGTCGTTGTCAGCGGGGTTCCCGAGCAGACGGCCGACGGAACCCTCGGATCTTTGGGAGAAGCCTCTCTGCATTCTAGGTTTGCACAGGAGGGCGAGAAGCCGGAGGGTTTAGGTTTGGTTGGGTTAACCGAGGGTGAGAACGGGGACGTAAAGGAAGATGTTTTGCTTGAAACGGTTATGCTTGAAGGAAAAGGGGAGGGTATGGCGGAGGGCACATTAGATGAGCGAGAAACAGAGGGAGAGGTGTCGACGATCGATCCACCAGCCAGTGAAGCCACGGGATTTCTTTCAAGTGAAGTAAGGGAGTGCCTCGGGGGCGGATCGGCGTTGGAAAGGAAGCGGTTTTCGCAGAACGTGCAGTTCCGGAAGGAGAACTTCGTCGTTAGCCCGGTCGAGGAGGAGAAGTACGACGTCGTGATGAGGTGAGAGGGCGACTTTCAGTTCAAGTAGTGAGCAGCTGGGTGATTGCTGACGACGACGTTGGCCGCAGTTATTCAGTCAATCGCTGAGCTTGCCTGGTCATCTTAGCCGGGACTCCATGTGCGATGGATTTCGAGGGTTGTTTTTGAAAAGGTTGCTCTCGAACGCCTGACCTCGAAGCCGTGCGTCCACTGGGTTTTGCCCTCTCGTGTGCTTTAGGAAGCTCTCTGGATTAGATGCGTGGAGCTCTGCAAGGATGGCTCTTTCTGCTGATTACGGTCGCCTGCTTCGTTCGCCAAACCTGCTGGATCGACCCCTTCTTTGCTTTTCCGAAATCTCATCAGCGAGCTCATGTCGCCCGATGCAGTCTGAGCGTGGTCAAGTGGATCCACCTCAACTGGGGCGACGACGGCCTGCTGCGCTTCTTCTCAAAGGTCTACAAGAGCCTCAAGCCCGGGGGACTTTTCATATTGGAGCCGCAGCCCTGGAAGTCGTACAAGAGCAACCGGGCAGTCTCGGAGGTGGGTCTCTAAGTGCCCGGAAACGCGTAACGTCATTTCTGCTGCTTCGACTTGAACCTTTCGGTCCGAAGTACAGGGCCGGAGCGATGTGAATCGTGATCGATTGCCAAAGAAAGCGCCAAGTGTGCGCAAAATGCGAGCAGCACATGCAGGGTCGAAAACGTTTGTGAGTCAGCAGGCCGTCCGGGGTGGCCCAGACAGCTGCCTTGTTTCAAGTGAAACACTTTCTGGACTGAGTGCGGCCAGAGTGGGAAGGCGTGACATTGCGAGTCGTTTTAGAGGACTCTGAATGAATCGCTTCAATCACAAACACTCAATGGCGACTGACGTCCCTTGTTTTACTGTGCAGACGACGCAGCGGCACTTCAAGGAAATTAAGATTTTGCCGGACCAGTTTTCGAACGTCCTCCAATCAAAGGTCAGTTTACGCTCTTCCGTCGCAACGTTCTCAACCTGTGCTGAAAATCGAAATGACCATACAGCTCGGTCACCGGTCGGGAGTTTGTATCTTCATCAGAAGTTTGGTCTGCGCTCTTGGTGTGCGCAAACTCCTCAGCGGAGCTTTGAAGCTGCTGTCATGCTTATAGTCAGTAGATTCTGTATCTTTCTGCAGATTGGGTTCCGCAGTGCGGACATCGTCACGCCCGCCGTTCCTGGCAGTATAGGAGGATTCGGAAGGGCGATCTATTTGTATCGTAAGTAGGGAGCAATTCTGGTAGATTTGTCCAACTCGGTTTTTACCACGAAGATTTAACAACACAAGTGCTAGTATAAGAGGCCGCACTGAAGATGGAGACAGAGAGTTTTTCTTCGGGCCAGAGTCAGCAACGTTCCCACTTACAACAAGGGCAAATGAAGCGCGCATACTTCGATAAACAGTGATGTTGATTATCTAATTCAATCTGTCCTTCCGGGCCCATATCAATGATACTCCGTTGTTGTGCCATCTCCCTGCGGATCACGTAATAAAGTTCGGCAATGAGACGCGGCATGGTTGGTCCTGGATTCAAGTACACAAGACCATGCATGCGGTGACCTCTATCCTAGCTGAAGCCAATTGTCATCCTTCACTTTCAATGATGCCCTGTTGGTTGCATGCCCCTATGGTCTATAACTCGTCCGACGCTTTGAAGATGTCCACCGCAGCTAGTTATGCAATACACGAATTCGCGAGAGCCTCGCGCAAAGAGTCTGCTAGGTTTCTGTTTGCGGGAAGCCTCCACAATCAAACGGCGCGAATTACCCGTCTGTGTAGTCGGCTTCTTCAATTCAGTCCGGCATACTTTTGCGATTGAATCAAGCGGACTAGACAGGATACTTGCACGCGAGGCCACCTACTAGCTCCTTATCTCGTGTGCGGTGCCCCGCTGCATGTGCACACTTGCTAATGCAGAGGCTGTTCAACGGTTTGCCGAAGAACCTATTTCAGGAGTGCAAATCTAAATACAATACGTACTTCATCGCAACATTTGATGATTGCATGCATAGCGTTCGAGATGAGCATCCATGGGCTCGTACTATCCAACGAAAAGGGGTGGTGCTCCAAAGTTGAAATTGCAGCATGTTTCACAAGTTGATCAGGTTTGCTTAAAATGGTCCCCGTGTTACAATATATGTTTCCCCATCCTCCCCTCATCGAAATAAAGCCCGCTTGCGTGCTTGCAGATGATTGTACCTCCTCTACCCTTTCGACCGCAGCTTTATCTATCTCGATCGACAATCGAGCTGGATTCAACTGTGCCGCTCCCTCCTCTCCCTCTTCTGTGTTTCAATAAGTGCAATCTTTCGCTCGACTCACTGACCATATCGTCTTCCTCAAACGAACATACTTCCTGACACCAGAAACAGAAAGAACGAGTATCTGCGCTGCCTGCTTGCCACAGTGTCCCTCTGCACGCGTGCCGACAAACACGACTGTCCCGCTCTGAAATTGAACCCATTTCTGACAACGGTTTGTGCAGCTGTCCAGACTTCCGCTTAGCCGTCAAAATTAACCCTAACCAAGATAAGCATCGCCCCAAGAAGAAAAGGGCCGGCCTGACCACCAACCTACGAAGACTGAAACTACCGAACGTGAAATCTCGTCAACCCTCGAACCCCCTGTCGCTCCCCCAACGCGACGGAAAGACGCCAACGCGTGACGCAATCGGCCCCGGGTGGTGACGCAAGCTCGAGGTCTGGAGGGTCGGGCTTCTACTGGTTCGGGCAGTCGCGGGAGATGTGACCCTCCTGACCGCACTTGTAGCAGCCGCGGCCGCCGCCGCCGCCGCTGCAAATGAAACGAAACGAGGTCAGACTATAAGTCTCAAAATGCAGGTGGGTGGTCAAGTTGAATTCACAAACTTGAGGCGAGACAAGGATTGATCTCCGTTGCTTATCCACCTTTGCGTGTTCTCAAGAGGAGTAAATCTGTTGAACTGCCCCGATTGAAGGAAACACATTCACCCTTTCTTTCAGGGTTTTATGTCAGGAACCTGTTTTATGTCAGGAACCCCGGATACTTCACGTTCGTGTGCCTTCAAAATCGCTTCCATTGATGAACGAATTCATTGTCCGAGAAATTTCAGAATGACAAAACTCGTCGCCAACCAGCCTTCTTTCACCGACAAGATCATCATATCGTCATTCGTACTCGATCTCTGTTGAGAATCTACTGAAACGGCTGACTCACCCGCCGCCTCCTCCCTGTGGGCAGTCCCGCGAGATGTGACCCTCCTCACCGCACTTGTAGCAAGCCCTGCAAAACAAGCAGCAAGCACGTTTGACTAGTGGAAACACGTCTTCCTTCTCACTTTCGTGTGCATGCATAGTGAACCGGAACTGTAATCTAAACGGAATGGCAAAATTTTCAACGAGCCCAATCACACTTGAAGCCTTTCCTTCTTCAAGACCAAGAGCAGAAGGTGAAGCAACAGAGCGATCTTTTACGTAGAGCTAGGAACCGCAAGCCCCTACAAACTCTTTTGCTTCGCGTTCAAAACTTCTCTGAGACGGTCAGAGCAAGGATATACGTGCCTGCTGCCGCCGCCGCCTCCACCGCCACCATAGCCGCCGCCGCCCCCGCCGCCCTGCGGGCAGTCGCGTGAGATGTGGCCTTCCTCGCCGCACTTGTAGCATGCCCTGCGAACAGGAAATTCTCGGTCACAGACTCGTCGAGCACGAGACGATGTTTTTGAACAATTCGACATGGATCTCCTCTCTGTCGAGATGCTTGTAGATCGCAAGGAGACTTTGTCCGCGGATTGTCAGCGTCTTTTATCGCGGATTCTGGGGAACGGTGAAAGCCGATAGAATGGACCCCAGATGCCTTCGCTGGCTAATGTCTCAAGCGCAGTGCAGATCTTGGTGTAAGGTTTGCTGTTTGAAAGTTGGATCAGGCGTATCCTAATCAACGGTCATCAAAGATTGTCAAGATTAAATCATCTCATTTCCGTTGTGAGCATCCGAGAGGCCTTTCTTTCATCGAAAGGCCGTACAATTTCAGCCGCCCACATCTTGTTCCAAAGAGACGGATGAAGATACACGAAACGCAACAAAAAGTCATCAATCAAAGCTCTCAGGCTCACCGGCTGCCACCGCCGCCTCCTCCCCCGTAGCCTCCCCCTCCTCCGCCGTAGCCCCCACCGCCC